TTAAACTGACCACCCCACCTTAACATTAGTTTTGGGATGAAATAGCCCCAAATTGGGGTCCCTGGCTCGCAATTACCGGTTTGGGCACTCACAACATCGAGAAAATATTTAATTCAGAGATAAATAACTTCAAAGCCTGCAGTTTTCTGATTCTAATGGGCTAATGCATTTGAATGCCCCATTATCGATGGGGCATTCAAAAGATATGCCCCCCCCCCCAAAAGATAATTATCGCTCTGGTGGTACTTACATACTACCTTGCGCGCGACATCTGTCAGTCTTATATCCATAAACCGGTGAATATGTTCTTTGTAACTTAGTAGATATTCACTTTTGATCTTTCTTAACCTTCGCCCCAGTGGGGGGGGGGGGCATATGTTACCACCCTGTCGCGTTTTTCGCGTGTAAATAAAAAAGCGCGGCGCGTAGCGCCGCGCCGCTTGGGGTAGCTTTTTGTACATCAATTTTGGACAATGTGTGAAATTTTTGACCCCAGGTCATGTCAGGCCAGGTCACCAGGTCAAGTTAACTGACCAAGCCTAAAAAAGTTTGCAATCATGTCCAGCCTGCAGTGTTTGCCAGAAAGGTTTCAAACTTGGTGGATTGCATGATGTTATGGGCGCCTACAATTTGTATATCTCGGATTTTTCATATCCCTGACCTAAGGTCAGGTCAGTGGCGTGACCTTACCATTATAAGGCAATGGAGAAAAATGAAAATGCCTCTAGATCCGTGTGTACGCATGGGAACAGTCCAAATATTTCAGAATCACAATGATTTAGTCCACTCGTGATGACCAAGGTGTCATTTTTGCTGATAGCCTCTAGACAGGTCATCTGAGGTCACTTGAGGCTACAAACAGTGTTTTGCCAATAACTCGCGATTGGAAAGAGATAGAACGCTGGGGATGGTCTCATTGTGTTTTTCTTGTTGAGACCCATCGACTGATATGCAACATGACCTTTTCAGGTCAGGTCATGACCTTGACCTGAGGTCAAATTTTCAAGTTGACCTTTCAAGGTCAAATTATAGTTCATTCGACGCGTCTCGGCGAGGGGAACACGATTCTGGCAATAGAAATGCCGTGGCTTTTTGTAGTCGAAAGTTATTGTCGAAAAACACTTTTCGTAAAAACAGCTATTTTTGGAGTTTTTGCCCTCTGAAGGCTAAACCGTTGACCTGAGGTCAATATTGATAATGACCTTTTCAAAAGAAGAGCTCAAAAGCTATCGTTTGTTCTTCAATGCGTTTTTCTAGCTACCATAGTTCCTGAGATAGCGGCATGTTTTCTGAAAAATATAATGACAATTGGCAAATTTTGACCTTTGATGACCTCTGGTGACCCCAATATTGCTCAAAGGTGAAAAATGACCGAAATACTTTCAAACGTACGCATTGAGAGCTATCGACTGCTTTTTACTGCGTCTTTCTATCCCTCTTAGTTTTTGAGTTAGAGGTGGGGGGGGGCATATGTTATCACCCCCCCTCTAACTCAAATTTCAAAAACGAAGAGGGCTAGAAAAACGTGGTAAAAAGCAGTCGATAGCTCTCAATGCGTACGTTTGAAAGTATTTCGGTCATTTTTCATCTTAGAGCAATATTGGGGTCACTGGAGATCATCAAAGGTCAAAATTTGCCAAATGTCATAATATTTTTCAGAAAACATGCATTTATCTCAGGAACTATAATAGCTAGAAAAACGCATGGAAAAGCAATCGATAGCTTTTGAACTCATCTTTTGATAAAGTCATAATCAAAATTGACCTCAGGCCAACGGTTTAGCCTCCAGAGGGCAAAAACTCCAAAATAGCTGTTTTTACGAAAAGTGTTTTTCGACAATAACTTTTGACTAAAAAAAAGCCACGACATTTCTATTGCCAGAATCGTGTTCCTCTTGCCGAGACGCGTCGAATGAACGTATCCATCACCACAGACCACAGTCGCACAGCTAGATCCACAGCAACTTACAGACAGTTCACACAGTGCCACGTTCGGTCCTCGTCAGCTCGCTGCCTCTCAGTTGGTGCCAAATCCATCACCACAGCATGACCCAGAGTCCAGACAGCCAGACAGAACCAGCCAGCCCAACGGCCATAGACACAGATGGAGTCTTGGTTTTCCTACTGTATCGATCTACCGGCTACAGAGTATCGAATGAACTGGCCAAGTTTGTCATATATTCCAGTGTGGAAGTTCGGCTGATATCGTGATCAAAAGTCTGTGCAGTGCAGTGGTCTAGACTAAAGGTCAAAGGTGGTAATTTTTAGTTGGTTATTGCTAACCGGGAACTGACTATCCGTAAGTGAATAAATAAAGATTTAATTGTGCTTGTCTATTTGTTATGTCAGAGCTACATCAGTCTAAAACAAGTATTTTTGATGTTTGTTATACATCTCCAGGCTGGCGCTAGTGCATTAGCTATGCTCAATAAGCTAGCGTCCATTCAATAGTGTGGACACGACACCATTTATTGTTCTAGCCCGAACCTAACTCTTATGTTTCTCTATTCAGAAGTAGGTATCGTTTGAAAACATATAGTTAAACTTATATAACGAAAGCTCGTAAGCTCTGGTAATTATGTGCTTATTAGGTAGGACTTGATAAGACACAAGCTGGAATGCTTCAACATTGCCGAAATGTTATGAAAGCATTTAGTGGAGTTATCGCTCTAAATGGTCACTATAAGGCGTGTTATGAACTGTTTTATTACTAGCGTAGCTCGGCAACCTGTGGGACTCCGGACTCGTTCGTACATATTTTGTCGAATGTTTTAATGCCAGCTGCTCTAAACTCGTGATTTGGTCAGCAAACAGTTACACAATGCAGTCTTGCCGACAGCCCAGCCGCTAACACATAATATAAAAGACGATATCAGCCAACAATAGCAGCAGACGACCGAGAGGTATAGACCGCTCCGTTTACTGCTTTATCACAGATACTGTGTACGATCTGAGGCCCGGTGGGTGGTGGTGAGAACGCTGAGGCTGTGCAGACGGAGCGCGGTGGGTGGTGGGCGGTAGACGGTAGGCGGTGGGCGGTAGACGGTAGGCGGTGGGCGGTACACGCGGTGGGCGGTAGACGGTAGGCGGTAGGCGGTGAGCGATGAGCGGTGGTCGGTAGACGGAGGGCGGTAGACGCGGTGGGCGTTGAAGTTGTGGGCGGTGGGCGGTGAAGCTGTGGACGGTGGGCGGTAGACGCGGTGGGCGGTAGACGCGGTGGGCGGTAGATGCGGTGGGCGGTATAAGGTAGGTGGAGGGTGGTAGACGCAGTGGGCGGTAGACGCGGTGGGCGGTAGACGGTAGGCGTTAGGCGGCGGGCAGTAGACGGTAGGCGGTAGACGGTAGGCGGTGGACGGTAGACGCGGTGGGCGGTGAAGTTGTGGTCGGTGGGTAGTGGTGAGGACGCTGAAGCTGTGGACGGAGCGCGGTGAGCGGTAGGCGGTAGACGCGGTGGGCGGTGAAGTTGTTGGCGGTAGACGGTATAGGCGGTAGGCGGAGGGTGGAAGGCGCGGTGGGCGGTGAAGTTGTTGGCGGTAGACGGTATAGGCGGTAGGCGGAGGGTGGTAGGCGCGGTGGGCGGTGAAGTTGTGAACGGTGGGCGGTGGGCGGAAGACGGGCGGTGGGCGGTAGACGCGGTGGGCGGTAGACGCGGTGGGCGGTAGACGCGGTGGGCGGTGGGCGGAGGGCGGTAGACGGGCGGTGGGTGGTAGGCAGTAGGCGGTAGGCGGTAGACGGGGGCGGTAGACGCGGTGGGCGGTAGACGCGGTGGACGGTAGGCGGTAGGCGGTGGACGGTAGGCGGTGGACGGTGGGCGGCGGACAGTAAAGTCGTGGACGGTGAGCGGTGGGCGGTGAAGCTGGGGAACTTACACCGGTGCGGGAGGCCGGAGGCGTGGCCGGGAGAGCGCCGTCTCCCGATATCGGCCCAGGCTGGTCACGTCTCAGAGGTCCAATCTGACCAAGTGCCGTAGTTACGTGGCGCCGAACCTCGGCGGACCTAACGGATGGGATCGGAGCGCTGCTGGAGGCGGCTGGCGGCTGGCGCAGAGGCGGGGCTGGCCTGCGGTCCGCGCGCCGCAGAGGCTGGGCAGAGGGCAGAGGACAGAGACTCCCACCCCTGGACCAGGCAGAGGACAGAGACACCCCCCCCCCCCACCGCGCGGGTCTGGGCGGAGGACAGAGACTCCCACCCCTGGGCCAGGCAGAGGACAGAGACACCCCCTCCACCCCGCGGGTCGGGCGCGGCGGTGTGGAGCTGCAGTTCGCGCGGTTGGCTTGTGCAAGTGGCAGTCAAACCATCGCTCGGTGTCGACTGTCGTTGCGTAAGGGACCGGTTAGTGGTTAATATACCCTACTAAATAATTTCGACACCGTAACAGCAGCCCAATGGCGGTATATACATAGTAGTGGTAGGTCTGACAGGCTGCTCGTTGACCTACTAGAATTGACCATTTGGGCTCTACGAATAAATTTCGAGAGACGAGAATTCTGTGTAGGTACCTGTGAAACAAAGACACCCAGCCTGCGGCGAGGCACACCGATATGAGGTGCAGTCAGTCTGCACGGTTCAGTTGCCGGTAAAGCTGACCAAAGAGCCTGTGACCGCCTGCAGTGGTTCTCCCCGGTACCCTGTGACCTTTGCGGAATCTGGCGCTTTATTTCCCAAACATTCAAATGGGTCTTATGACTTGTCATGGATGATTTAAGTCGAACACGATCAAAACGCCGCTAAACTAGGCTTCTGCTGTATTGTTTTGAAGCTACTGTCAGGCAAACAAATCAATAGTAGATACCCACAGTTTGAAGGAAGACTGATTTAAAGCGTTCGATCTTGAAGTCATACAGGAGCAATACTTATGTGTAAAAGTCTCGACAAAAAGTTGAGCCTACACGTCATATGCCTATGCATGTGGGCAATGAGTAGGTAGTACCCACTAGCCAAGTAGTAGGTACCTACGTACCGGGTTGCAGAAATATTGATTATCATTGCATCCTTTTGCAGGAGAAAGGATGCCGCTCAGAACCTGGAAAGGTTGAGAAGACATCTCACGACGCGAGGTCCCGACGTGTTCTGTCCGAATTAGCTAAGGTGAGATCAAGGCTCTATAGGGTGAGATTATCTAGACTTATTCTAACGATGCGTTTTGCGTTTGCGTAAACTTCTTATGTTTGCTATCGTTGTTGTCCAGTACTTACTGTAAATTGTTCAATACAGTTACAAGTGATTTTATCCGTTTTAGCAAAGTTTGAATTGAATTTGGCAAAGTTAGTGCAGAAGTTCTTCTGTCAAGCTAATAAGACAGAGCAGAAATTCTACTGGCCGTGAAACATTACAACGGACGGATGCCTTGCCAGTATCAGGCACATTCTAGTGTCGAAGCTGTACCTACATTTATTTGCAGTGTAGGCATAGGCAAGCGCATAAAGTCGACCCTTACCTGGCAAAATTTTTTATCGTTGGATGTTTTTCAATAGGAACGTGATCTTGATTTCTTACTTGAGGTAAGAAATCAGAAATCTTACCCACGCCCCGTTGAGGTCTGGCAGGTTCCAGGTTCTGTTTGGGGGGGGCAAAGGGCGCCCCGTCGTACCTCCGGAACCAATAGTTGGATCGGAAAAATTAAAATGGTATTGGAAAGAAGAGCTCTTCGAGATGCGCAAGATTCTATTGATAACCTCGATATATGACCTGTGACGTCACAGGCAGTTCAAAACAAGTTTAAATCGGTTCAATTTGCAACGAGAGGTCGGTCATAAATGAGCGCTCTAGGTATCTAAAGTGGGTCTGGGTATGCTGTATAGTTATCATCAGGGGGTGTCGAAGTCTAGTAGGAAAATCTGGCAAATTCCCTGCGTGACGTCACGTCGGGGATGACCGACGACACCTTGCACTGAAAGATACGGCAGAACGGCTATTTTTGAAAAATGATTAAAAATACTTTTGTGCTGTTATGACACATAAAACGCTTTTCAGCATGTACCTCATCATGTGATAAAGGCATATCCGTGGTCGAAAATACCTGAGCCCCTCCCAATTTCCAACCACCGACCTCATAAGCAAAGGATGTAAGCGTAATCCTTAAGGGCGACTTTTCTATACATATCCGTACATATGCGTCCTTATGGAAATCGGTAGTGTGGCGATTGGCGACGCGCGCGACATCTGTGTGGCGACCAAGTGGCGACTGTGGCGACACCTGGTGGCTGCTTTTCTGCTGTATGTAGGCATTGGGGTTTTGCCAGATGTGGTTCCTACTGCTACACCACTATGTTAACCCAATACTAGAAAAGTTATTTTGCTAGTAAAAGGCAAGCAAATTGAAAGTTGATTTATAAAATTGCTTATAAATGATTACGAGATAATAATAAAGAAATTTTGATTGAATAATTATTTAAATAATCAACCGTGAAACTATATTCTGGTAGGTTTAGTAGAAATAAGTCCGTGCAACCTTGTATTTAGGGCCTTGGTTATCATATATCTGCCATCTGGATAGTCATTTGAATGGGTGATTACCCGTGAAGTCACGAAAGAGGTCAGTCTCGATCAATCAGAAAACACTTTCGTGAATCGTATGGAACGGCATGCTGAATTGTAAATTTATGAAGGCATGTTATACATATGCAGGCACCAAAAAACTTCTCTCCTTTACCATTTTTCTTGGACCTATGACGTCATAGGAAAGTCAAAAAAGTTCAGACTACCAGTTTACAATGACAAACATTTTATTACGTAAAAGTGACCTTTGCCACGTAAAAGGGACGACAATGTTCAACTTTAGTCAGGAAAAGATGGATAAGCATCATAAATGTCATCCTAGACTAATGTTGAGTAAAAGTACTGAAAACAGTGTGTCGTCATACAAACAGTTGCTATTATTTTTAGTTACTCAGATGGCTGTATCTCTGGGAGTTTCAGAGATATTTTGTTGAAGTAACATGTGTAGCATGTGTACCTAACATGTGTAACATGTGTAAAGGCAGTAAGATGTTCTCTGATATGTTTTCCGTTATTTTTGTTGGAAATTTATCCGAATAAAAAGTATCTCAAGAAATCTAAATATTGAGTTAGAAAATCTCAAGAACTTGACATTTCTACATTTTTCGAAATTTTTAGTTGGGCATTTTGTTTGCTATGCTCTTCCGTATCTTCGGTTTAACTTTTTGTGTCTAAGTTGATGTTCTGATTTTCTAAAGAAAAATATCCGTGGACAACTTTTTTCGACCAAAAAAGGTTGAGCATGACCATGGGCGTCGCCACCACTACGGACACTACGGGCAGTGTCCGTACAAGTTTTGGAAGGCCCGAAAACTTGTACGGAATGTCCGTACAAGTTTCGACGACTGCAAAGCAGTCTTTGCAAATGTTTTGAAGTAGCTGAAAACTTATCGTTATCAGTCCCCTATTTGCGGGTAAAGTTACGGTCCAAGGCCGCCCCAAAGTCAATGTCACGCAAGAGTATTTACTATTTAGGGTGTAACGAAATTATTCGAACATATATTTTTCGCCATATCTGTTCGCAATTTCTGTATTGTCCTTTGAATCGTCAAAGCGGCCTTGTGTTGACTGCCAGTAACTCAAACGTGCCGGCCGTCACCGGCGTCAATCATCCGGCCAAGATCCAGATCTGGAGCATATTCAGCTGCTTGCGATGTTCCAGCTGTGCATTGTGCCACAGAAGACCACCATCAGTGACGAATATTACCGGAGCAACATCCTGTCAGACAAATAGTGAGAGCCGCTCAACTGGACGGCACGGGAGGGCTCGGTTTCTAAAAGCGCACTGAATTTTGATTCTAACCACGCTGCCTTCGTGCAGGCTGAAGGGCTACATATACATACGTCCGTAGGAGAATGAAAAGTTACGCCGGGAGAAGCTCTTATCCTTCCTTCTGGACTAACGGGATACGGCTTGGAAATAGTTGTCATCCTAATTCCATCGAGATGTTATGGACTTTTGTCCAGCAGGAGGTGAATAAAGGGACACCCGGCGTCAGGACCAATCAACTGTATGTAGGCACATGCTAATGCGGCGTCGGTCCACATGTGCTTGAAAACCAAGTAGCTGGAATGCTCCAGGCATTTCTAAATATGATCTTATGAAAGATGGCTAATGGCTATATCATCGTCAAAAGGAAAAAACTCAAGTTGTCTTGTTTCTTACAGCGGAAAGAAAGGTGTCCGGATAATTTCGTTACACCTTCTATGGGCTATTTCACTGATCGTCCGCCATAATAATTCTGTCACTTTTGCCATCCCGAGGCTCTAAATGTTAGAGCAAAAGAAAATGAAAGAAAATCGTGACCAGCGACTTCAAATACAGCAAACGAGACTATTCATGTGTGAAAGTCAACCAAAGACCATAATACCATTCGAGGTCACATGAGTTCAACAGAAAACTTGACCTTTTCAAACAGCCTTTATGTCATTCGACGCGTCTTGATATGACTAATGCGTTGGTACCACTGTCTAAGACCCTTTTTGTTGAAGAAATATGCAAAAAAAGCCGCAGCTCGGGGTCGCTGAACTGCCATCTAACCTTCAATGTAATGTAGGTTAAAGGTAGTGTGCCACCTTTGAAAGATTTCCCATTTTATTTTTCCTAGGATAAGAAGCTTCTAAATCAAAAATATCGCAAAAAAATCAAAAATGGGCCTGGAATAGTGCCTTTTTCGCCTAAAAGTTTATCGGTTTTTAGATATGTATAACAACTGTAGTGGGCTCACCTGCAAACAGGCGTCGGGCAACAATCGCGAATGCGGCGCACTTGTGACAATAAGCAAAGGTCATTATAGTGTTACGACCATACGACGTACGGGAATGAGTTATCAGCTGTCTAATCGTAGACAACACAATGTCGAGCCTTAAACTGTAAGCCCGTATTGGTATTGTTTCTTTTATTTGGCTGTCGAACATTATTTATGGTTTGAAATATGATTTTATGTAAAATAATTGATATGAAAAAGCCGTCTTATAAGTTATGACCCCATTTCACCACACGCAAGTGGCAGAAATGACAATGATCAGCTGACGCATTTTTCTTGGCCGAAGTCAGAGCGCGCAGCCCGACGCACCACCACCGCACCACAAAGTATGAGCAGAAGCCGCGCCCAAAGCCAGGGCCCCGGTAACGTGAGGTAGCCGAGTCGGGGCAGCGTGCGCTGACCCAAGCCGGGGCCGCAGCTTTGGGCGCGGTCTACCGCATCCCCGCGGGCAGCCCCGGGCTATCACATGACACCGGGAGGACGCGCGGCTCCGGCTTGGGTCAGCGCACGCTGCCCTGACTCGGCTACCTCACGTTACCGGGGCCCTGGCTTTGGGCGTGGTCTACCGCACCACCTAACAGGCGTGTTCGAAACCGCAGGAGCTGATGATGAACGGGTTTATCGAAACTTGATTGGATGAGCATATCGGTAATAGCGATTTCAGTGTGTGCATTTATTGTTCATAGTGGTGTGAAATGTGGTTGGGGTACGACCGACAACCCGTCGGGGCGAATTTCGCACTGGGGTACTCAAAATTTGAAGAATTTAAGACGTTTCCATGAGTTTTGAAGGTATGGATAAGTTCTAAAAATCCGGTTCTCCTTATCTGGGCCATTAACTCCATACGGTCCAAGAAAGCTGGCACACTACCTTTAAAAAAAATGTGTTTGTATTTTTTTCCGAAACCCCTTGGCATTCGGGGGCTACCGCAACTATTCGTCCGGAGTGGGGGGGGAGGAGGACGAGGACGAAAAACACTCTCCGCGGGCCCGCATGGTTAACGCCTCTGACGAGTGCTACGGCTGACAGAATGTGTCCGTACAAGTTGGGGAGCCGTGGCGACGCCCCTGAGCATGACCTCAGTTTGACCTCTATAACTCGTGACCTGAGATGGCCTAAGACCATATTTTTCAGGTGATATATGAAATTGATACCTGGAGAGGTACTGAAAATTTCTAGCCGAAATTCGTAACGGTTTTTGAGTTATCGGCGAAAAGCCACAAGGGGACCCTTTAGCCTCCCAACGGGTAACGGGTTAATTGATTGACCGAAACTAGCCCATATGCCTATGATAAAAGCCGTACCCTAGGACCTAGAAACAATGTTGAAGTTCTCCGCGAATAAAAATTTGTTACGGATGCAATGCCGCGCTACCCAGAGCCCTGTTCGGGCAGCGCATCCTACTGCAAAATTTTGCACCACGCATGCGCAGTAGGGGTCTCTCGGGTGCCAGGCTCCGCCCTTCGGTGTATGACGTCACATGTGTGACGTCGGCACGCGCAAAATCTTTCAGTTTTGCGCAACAAGAAAATAGGAGCTGCAGGAGGCGAAAGTGGCGCGAATTAAAGTTTACCGTCCTAAATTTCTTATTGTAAGCGGTTAGTATGGTGTTGTTTTGGTATCATTATCTTTGTTTTCAGTGGCACATTGCTATTAACCACATTTGAACGCATTTTATTCAGTTTTTGAACGAAAACCACCAGTCCATCCGCGCCACGGTTCGTCACGCGTCGAATAATGGCTGCCGCGGCCCTCGGCTCTGGCGGCCCGGCGGAGAGTGGGCGGAGCCAGTGGCTGACGTCATTCCAAGTGTGCCGTCACACGCTGCAAAATATTTTGCGCGGACCCGAACAGGGCTCAGGCCCGTGTACCTACATGTGTGACGATTAGATAATGTTGAGGCCAATTTTGCCTAAAAGAACAACTCGCTTCTTTATTATTTCAGCTGAGCATTCTGCACGCTCCCCCATGGGAGACAGAAGACGACAGCTGTGATCCTGGGCATGGACCTACCGCAATGGAGGTAGAAGCGGTTCGCGGAAAGAACGCATCCCTCGAGTCCGTCCTGAAGGTAATCACCGGCGTCACTCCGTTTTTAGTCGCGTCCGTGCTATAAATGTGTAGCTGGCGTCCTCGGGACAGTGCTCCACCTTAAGGGGACAACAGACCACGTCTGGCACCTCCCCATCTACAAAATGAACACCGACCACGCCATAAGTCAGCGCGAGCATTGACCTCATCTATTTGGTAAAAAAAGGCGAGCTCCGATCAGGGACTTTGGTCAGAAAATCAATCACCTTATCGGAGCATAGCTTTTTGTGTCAGCGTTTTAAATAGCTCTAACGCAGCCAGAAACGGGCATCTAACCTCAAGCATTTAAAGGGACTATCCCACCTTTAACATGGGGTTTGAGTTGAAGCCAAGTTTGCGGCGAGGTTCAGAAACCACTATCTATCTAGGTTGCAACCCCCGCGGCCTCTTGGTGTTGATGAAATTCGTTCCCTTCATTTGAAAATGGGCCTTGTACAAGACCCTATCTTCAACATGGAGCGGCCGTTAGTGTGACGTCACCTCGCTTAGTCATTCTGATTTAAATGGGTTTGTTCGTTCAAAAATCGCTTAAAACTTGGTCTGAACTTTGTTGTGGTGCCTACAGAGTAAAAAGAATCAGCTTTATGACAGTAATGTGGCCTGGGGAAGGAGGTAATTTTGGGCTGTGACGTCACATATTTGAAAGTTTGTGTTTGGAATATGGGAAGCCTAAGATGTTTAATGAAAAATAAATGCCAGAACCGTGTTCCTGGTCATATTATATTATTTAAATATCCATTTGAGTAGGATTGCGGGTTTTTTGAAACGCTCAGTTTTTGCAGCGAGCTTTTTCTCTTAGGGCCTGCGAGATATCCGCGGACAGACATATCTCTTCAGCATTGCGCGCTACACAGGAATGCGGCTGATTCACGTGCGATTGTGAGCGAGGTGCTTCCCTCCGGGAGAAATTCGCCGTCCCCATATGTTTAACACAGAGCCGAGCGGCGGCTGACAGGTGGCCGGCTCTCGGGAGATCGGCAGCCGACACTCGAAAAATCGACAACCCGCCGCTGAATGCGCGTGCGGCAGTGCTGAGCCGAGTCGTTCCCACGGTCTGAGGTACCCCCAGTTTGAAGATTCGGCTGTAGAATATGTAGTTTTAAATACGTAGTTTGACGTACATCTCGGAAAAGTGAGATACGGCCAGAAATGAGTTTGGGTCCCTCCGTTCTGAAGATTCTGATCGACGCCGATTGAAATAATTCGCCGTGCATATCTCGGCTTATTGACGACCGATTGACACGGGATAAACACCGATCGATACCAAATGGCTCTGTGTGTGGGGGGGGGGGAGTAGAGTGGCAAGTTTTCCTACCCGACGAACCCGGAATTATCCCGAGGGGGTAGGTGTGGGAGTAGAGTCGGGGGAACGGGGGGGGCGAGTGCAAGTACCAAGTACTTTCGCAAGTACCAAGCAAGTACCAAGTACTTATGGAAATACCAAGCAAGTACCAAGTACTTTGGCAAATACCGAGTACTTATGCAAATACCAAGCAAGTACCAAGTACTTTGGCAAGTACCGAGTACTTTGGCAAGTACCAAGCAAGTACCAAGTACTTTTGCAAGTTCAGCAAGTTTTTCGCCAATATCGAAGCTTCTAGACGTCCGATTGTCACCGGGAAAACACCATTCGATCCCAAATTTTCTCCCGAAGCTTTTTATGGCCAAAGCGACGCGGAGCGAGCCAAGATATCTTGTATAACTATTCTATTTGCGTCGGTTTGCGGGTTTTTTGAAACGCTCAGTTTTTGCAGCGAGCTTTTTCTCTTAGGGCCTGCGAGATAGCCGCGGACAGACATATCTCTTCAGCATTGCGCGCCACACAGGAATGCGGCTGATTCACGTGACAAACTCGATGGCGGTCCCTCCATCCCGGAGAAATTCGCCGTCACTATATGCTTAACACAGAGCCGAGCGGCGGCTGACAGGTGGCCGGCTCGCGGGAGATCGGCAGCCGACACTCGAAAAATCGACAACCCGCCGCTGAATGCACGAGCGAAAATGAGCGAGGTACCGCCGTTCCGGAGATCCAGGCACTGCAGCCGGCGGCCGGCCGGGGTCGCCGTAAATGCCCAGTCGGGGCAGGTGCTGCCACCTGTGCAGTCGTCCGGCCAGAGCCGCCGTGCGCGGCAGGTCCGCGTGCGGCCGCCAGAGGGATATCGCCACGCGCGTCGCTTCAAACCTTACGAATCTACAAAAAGTTAGCTAACTTTAATAAGAGAGACGGTAAAGCCACAATTCCAACGCTGAATGTTGGGCAAAAGCAAAGGGATCCAACACAGCCATCTGTATTTACCGTATTTACCCTTTTCAGTCAGCAATAAGCCCCAGCAATCGCACCGCTGTAAAACTCGCAAGCTGTTCACCGTGCAGGGTATTGCATTATAAGCATCCACCGGCTCGCATTGTGCAGGTATAACCGCAAGATAGGTAGGACGCGAAAAGCAGGTGGGGAATAATAGGTAGGAAGGTGAAACGCATTTCCAGCAGGTAGGATGCATTTCAAATAGGTAGGAAAATCTGTTCAATTTGTAAATAAATTATTGAAAATTCAACAAAGTGATCTGAGACCTTATTGTTATTGTTAACAATAAGGTCTCATATCATCAATAACAATAAGATTGTTATTGATCGTCGTCTGATTTAAACGTCAAAAAGTTACAAGTTTTTAGCGGTATTTAGGCAAGTAAATACCAAGTATTTTTAGAACAAGTTCTTTGCGGTATTTAGGCAAGTAAATACCAAGTACTTTGGCAGGTTTTCAGTACATTAGCAAGTTTTCAGTACATTACCAAGTAGCAGGTGATACAGCAAGCTGGCAGGTATTCTGGCAAGTTCAACAAGTTTTTCGCGAATATCTAAGCTTCTAGACGTCCGATCAACACGGGACGAACACCAATCGGTCCCAAATTTTCTCCTTAATCATTTTATGGCCAACGCGACGCGTAGCGAGCCAAGATATCTTGTTAATATACTATTTGAGTAGGATTGCGGGTTTTTTGAAGCGTTCAGTTTTCGCAGCGAGCTTTTTCTCTTGGGGCTTGCGAGATAGGACGTGACAGACGCATTCACTTAACATTAGCAGAAAGACACAGGAATGCGGCTGAATTCTCGCGCAGTAATGAGCGAGGGTACCCCCAGTTAGAAGATTCGGCTGTAAAATATGTAGTTTTAAATACGTATAGTTTGACGTAGATCTGGGAAAAGTGAAACACGGCCGATTGACGTGCAGTTAATGAGCGTGGGGTCCTCCGTTTTAAAGATTCTCATCAGCGCCGATGGTAATAATTCACCGTGCGTATGTCGACTTATTCACGACCGATTCACACCGGACAAGCACCGATCGATACCAAATCTGGGGGGCGGGGGGGGGGAACTGGGAAATGGGGGGGAGTAGAGTGGCAAGTTTTCCTACCCAGCGAACCCGGTACCAAGCAAGTACCAAGTACCTTTGCAAGTACCAAGCCAGCACCAAGTACTTTTTGCATGTTCCAGATACCAAGCAAGTACCAAGTACTTTTGCAAGTACCAAGCAAGTACCAAGTACTTTTGCAAGTCGAACAGGTTTTTTGCGATTATCTTAGCTTCTAGAAAGCCGATCGACACGGGACATACACCATTCGATCCCAAATTTTATGCCTCATCATTTTATAACCTTTTGCGCCGCGAAGCAAGCCAGGATCCCCTAGTAAATATTCTATTTGCGTCGATTTTCGGGTTTTTTGAAACGCTCAGTTTTTGCAGCGAGCTTTTTCTCTTAGGGCCTGAGAGATACCCGCGGACAGACATATCTCTTCAGCATTGCGCGCCACACAGGAATGCGGCTGATTCACGTGCTTTTGTGAGCGAGGTGCTTCCCTCCGGGAGAAATTCGCCGTCCCCACATGCCTAACACAGAGCCGAGCGGCGGCTGACAGGTGGCCGGCTCGCGGGAGATCGGCAGCCGACACTCGAAAAATCGACAACCCGCCGCTGAATGCGCGTGCGGCAGTGCTGAGCCGAGTCGTTCCCACGGTCTGGCGGCCAGCTGGGTGGGGGCGGGGTGGGGAGTGGGGCGGCCGATTGCCAGCCGCTTCTCCACGGGCAGGTGCTGCCACCTGCGCAGTAGTTCCACTGGCGGCCGCCAGGCCCGTGTGCGGGCCGTGCGCGGTAGTTCCGCCAGCGGCCGCCAGAGGGATACCGCAACGCGCGTCGTGTCTAACCTGACGAAGCTACAAAAAGTTAGATAACTTTAATAAGAGGGACGGTAAAGCCACAATTCCAACGCTGAATGTTGGGCAAAAGCAAAGGGATCCAACACAGCCATCTGTATTTACTGTATTTACCCTTTTCAGTCAGCGATAAGCCCCAGCAATCGCACCGCTGCAAAACTCGCAAGCTGTTCACCGTGCAAGGTATTGCATCATAAGCACCCACCGGCTCTCTCAACTTATGTGTAATCGCTTAATAGGTAGGACGCGAAAAGTGAGTGACAGGCGACAGGTAGGTGGAACAAGATACGAAGGGGAGGTGAAATAAATTACGAATTGAAATTAAGCACAACTCACATTGCAAACAATCCTTTGCAAACAAATCAAATCGATCTGAGACCAAGGCAAATTCCCAAAGTCTTTGATCGTCTAAAGACGTCTGATTTAAACGTCGGAAATGAACAAGTTCTTTGCAGTATTTAGGCAAGTAAATACCAAGTATTTTAGAACAAGTTCTTTGCGGTATTTAGGCAAGAAAATACCAAGTATTTTAGAACAAGTTCTTTGCGGTATTTAGGCAAGTAAATACCTTTGGCAGGTTTTCAGTACATTAGCAAGTTTTACAAGTTCTTTGCGGTATTTAGGCAAGTAAATACCAAGTATTTTAGAACAAGTTCTTTGCGGTATTTAGGCAAGTAAATACCTTTGGCAGGTTTTCAGTACATTAGCAAGTTTTCAGTACATTACCAAGTAGCAGGTGATACAGCAAGCTGAAAGTTCAAGTTCTTTGCGGTATTTAGGCAAGTAAATACCTTTGGCAGGTTTTCAGTACATTAGCAAGTTTTCAGTACATTACCAAGTAGCAGGTGATACAGCAAGCTGAAAGTTCAACAAGTTTTTCGCGAATATCTAAGCTTCTAGACGTCCGATCAACACGGAACAAACACCAATCGGTCCCAAATTTTCTCCTTAATCATTTTATGGCCAACGCGACGCGTAGCGAGCCAAGATATCTTGTCCAATCTATAAAGTCGGGCACAATTTAACTGGTTTTAACAACATTTTAGAAGGTGGGATAGTCCCTTTAATGTTTTCTTAATTGACCACTGGTCGGTATTTTTTCTTGACAGTTTTAAACTGATCGATGGTTTGTCACGTTGCTTGCGATGGTTGGTTGTCCTATTGACGCATCGTAATGCTAGTAAACATTACACATATTATACCTACAGCACACTCTAGCATTTATAGTTAGATATATTTTTAGTTAGATATAAATTGAAAGATGTAGCTTGTTGTATCTGGTTCTAGTGTAAAGGTACGAAACTTTGTAGCTTTATACAATGTAGGTATAGGTACAAAATCATGTACCTAAATCATGCGTGATGCTTACCTATTACCCGCTCCTGGAATGCAGAATGCTTGTTAACACTTAACCCGCGCACCGACGGGGGGGCGGATATCCGCCCCCCCCCCCCTGAGGTTTTTCGCGGATAGCGGGAAAACCGCGGCGCGTAGCGCCGCGAAATTTGGTATGACTATTCTCTCATCAATTTTACACATGGTGTGCAAGTTTGAACCTCCTAACTTTTAAGGTCAGGTCACCAGGTCACTTTGAATGACCCAACCTCAAGTCACTTTTTTGCAACTTTGTCACCGTGCCAGAGCTACAGTAGATGTCGGAGGCCTTTGAAAGTCGCAGGATGTTATTAGGTCATTAGTAGCTACAATTTGTATATCTCGGAATTTTGATGTCGGTGACCTAAGGTCAGGTCAATTTCGCGACCTCCCCATTATAAGTCAATGGGGGAAAAATCAACTCCCTGTTTTTACCACTAAAACGGGTCGGAATGGCCCCATATACCATACATGACTTCACATACGATCAACCTTCACTACCTTGAGGTCTGTTTTGCTGTTGGGCAGCTGTAAGGTCATGTGACGTCATCAAAGGTCACCAAAGGTTTTTTGCCAATAACTCCTTACAGGAACAAGATACAGCCGCGCGGATGGTCTCATTGTGTTCAGCTCGTCAAGACGCATCGAATGATATACATGATGACCTCGAGGTCACGTGACCTGAGGTCAACCTTTGACCTTGACCTTTCGAGGTCAACATATATATCATTCGATGCGGATTGACGAGAGGATCACGATGATGCCCTTAGTTTGTTCCTATCTTGACTACTTCGAAAGTTATTCGAGAAAAACCCTCTCCATATCTAGCGCCGCCATTTTGACTTTTTCGACCCCTGTGACGTCATCTTTGACCTGACCTGAAAATGACCTTAGTAAAAATTGTAGACCTTGTCCGTGCGTATCCGATGCCGTTTACCGCTTGTCGCTATCTTGCTTCGTTCTCGAGATCTCAGGGGGGGGGCGGTCATCCGCCCCCCCCCCCCGTCGGTACTAAGTTGGCGCAGACCCCCGTCGGTGCGCGGGTTAACCCCCATGGGCCCAAGGGACGTTTTTCGCCCCGTGACGTATATTTGCGATGGCTTTCAAACGCTTAGCGATAGGAGTGCGAAACTTTCAGCATGCCCTTCCTCCTCCATCAATTTGATATCTTTTGAAGCAAGAAATTTTAACCGGGTGACCCGATGACGTCACAGGATCGATTTCCCCAGACCACTGCAAGGCAAATTTTGACGGCACCAAACAACTTCCATGGTTTTAGAGATGAAGACAAGTTACAGATATGGCTGGGTGGCATTTGAACTGAAAAAAAACGAAAATAATTTTGGTGACCTTTGGCGAGGTCACCATGTCAGGTGAAGGTGACAAATTCAAATACTGGCACCGGCTGCGCTTTTGATCCCAAAATCACATCCAAAACATGTAGGACGTAGCTGCAAGACAGTGGTCGATATAAAAATTTCAGGTCGGTTTGAGGTCAGGTCAGGTCAGGAGAGCCGAAAAGGCATCAATGTGCCTAATTTGCGAGTAACGCTGATTTAGTGAAAGCATAGTGAATTGCAACAAAACGAATTGCATTGCTACACGATCCATAAATTAGAAACTAAAAATACCTCAGCTAGAAAATGTTTTGCAACATCCTGAAATTCTACAGGTAGGTGTATTAAATAAGCAAAAAGAGCGAAGTTTTAAGTCAGCTTACAAGTTACAACATGTCTTTGACCTTTAAGTTTAAACACATCACCAACCTTCAAAAAAATGTTTTCATTCAGTCTTCCCGCCTTTGTGCATGCATCCATGCTCTGGAACACAAAGCTTGAGGTAACTACACATGTGCTGGTTTTGCTTTCGATATCTCTGCTTGTAAATTTGACGATAGGTCCAAGGTTTTAGATTCTTTAGAATTGTCTTGATGGAATCTTTTGTTTTATACCGTTTTTGTTTCCGCACACTCTTTATTTACGAGGTTAGACAGGAGATTAAAAACATCCCCTCCCGGACTGGCTTTGCCGGGATTGCCCTCCGCGGCCAGCCGGGTTAGTGGCCCATCCGCCATGATCTCCCTTTCACCTTCCGTTGATGTTCTGTCCAATGTTGCAGCAAATGCGCGATGTGGCGGAGCGTAAAAAGGAGCTGGAGCGTCAGCAGCGGGAGGTGCAGGACCGGCTGAAGGAGAGGGAGGCAGCCCTGCTGCAGTCCTCGGCCGGGGACCGACAGGCCAGCGCAGACGCCGTGCAGGCGCTAAAGAGCACGGTACGATGGGATCGTATATTGGGGCAGAAGCGCACGGTACGAACTGGGATCGTATACTATATGGGGTAAGAGTGAACAGTACGAACTGGGATCGTATACTATATGGGGCAGGAGAGAACGGTACGAACTGGGATCGTATACTATATGGGGTAAGAGTGAACAGTACGAACTGGGATCGTATACTATATGGGGCAGGAGAGAACGGTACGAACTGGGATCGTATACTATATGGGGCAGGAGAGAACGGTACGAACTGGGATCGTATACTATATGGGGCAGGAGAGAACGGTACGAACTGGGATCGTATACTATATGGGGCAGGAGAGAACGGTACGAACTGGGATCGTATACTATATGGGGCAGGAGAGAACGGTACGAACTGGGATCGTATAGGGGAGAGTGGGGCACATTCGTGCATGGGGCACATTCGTTTTCAGCAGTTTATGGGAACACGAGTGACTGCACGAGCTCAAGGTAAATTATGGAAATATGTCTATCATTGCCGCCCTTCGTTCACCGTAGAAGACAACACTGTACCTGCTGTCATGCTTGATAAAAACGCAAATTTGTAATATTCGTGAGCTTTCCAAACTTTTCTCATATCATCCATTTTCGTGATCCTGACTCGGAAATGTGGTTCAGCTTTTCAAAATTGGGGGTGAAGAAGCCCACTCTATTCACGGAACTGCTGCAAACTTGTTTGTTGAAAAAGTGTCATTTTTTTTCAAAAAGAAATTTTGAAATATATTACTAATAACGTTGTGGGGCAGGTTCGTGTACGCACTGCCTGGGGGCACATTCGTGCATATTTTTTTTTTTTAGTTTTTGCGATTTATGACTTTATCTGTAGTAGGGTTCTCTAATGACGCTCGCCTGACTCAGTCTCGACTGCTTGCGACGTCGTGACGAGCAATTCACGCGAACTTGGCGAGGTCACCGAGGCCGGCAGTTGGCACATTCTTGTTGGCCAGCCCATTCTTTCTACATTTGTTGTGCAATGCATTCTTGTCGAAAGGAATCAAGTGAAATGACCCCCTGCCAATTTCCTTTGGTAAATTTCTGGTAATGCCCAGTAATTTCTCGAATTTTGCCGGGTGAACGGAAGTGCCCCATCTCTTGAACGAATGTGCCCCATAGGTGGGGCAGTTTCGTGCAAATGTTCAGAGTTAATAAAAGTCATTTTTTCTAATGGAAGCAATAATTTTATAGGATAACTTTTAAAGAGGAAAACTATCTGCAATAGTTCCTTTCCATACTACAATCAACAATTTTGCCATTGCACTAACCAAAGAACAGATATATGGGTTTATCCATTTTTTGCACGAATGTGCCCCACTCTCCCCTACTATATGGGGCAGGAGAGAACGGTACGAACTGGGAGTAGCAGACGCCAGACAGGCGCTGAAGAGCGCTGTACGAACTGGGATCGTGCAGGCGCACGCAACAATTAAAAGAGACTCGCTGCGCCGGTGATAGAATTTCACGCAACATTTTTTTGTGAAGGGCTACCTACTGCATACTTCATACTCAAAAGGGATTTTTTATGAAATCGAGCAGGTTCAACCAAGGAAGCATGCTCGCTGCCCTTGGGGGTTAGTGGCACATATTTCCTGGATAACACATAGGAAAGTATATTATCTCCCGATGTTAGCTTAAGCATACGAGAGTGCAGTCTACTCCAGAGACCGTCCCGAGGACCACGATGCGAGCCGCCGTCTGTGCTGAGACCGCCGAGCACACTCCGAGCTGTGCTGTCTGTGCTGAGACCGCCGGGCCAAGGAGCACACCCCGAACCGTCGTCTGTCTTTAGACCGCCGGTTGACGGCGGCGGCCGGAGGGCGGGTCGATGGGTCAGGCGGCGGGCGTAACACTCGGATTACACGGCACAGCCCGCCGGCCAGCGGGCACCAGTCTTGCATGCTAAACTGGAGCTCAGCGCAGCTTTATGGAACAGGAAGTGTCACGACTCACTACCGCCGGAAGACGATGATGCGTCACGCCGCTCAGAGTTTTCTGTTTGTGTTCTAGCTCCGGGAACTGGAGAAGAAGGCAGAAGTGCAGTCGCTGCGCCATGAAGAGCTCGTGCTGGAAATGGCCGCCATCAAGAAACAGAGCAAGACGAAGAACTGGATAGACGCCAGTCCCGAGGGCACCGTCACACCAGGTATGTGTACCTACATTGTTCTAGTATCTCGGTAACATATTTAACGCTAATAGGCGTGCTCATTCCCATCAAGACTCAATAGAGGTATAGCCTACTACCCTCAAATGTCATTAACGACACACGGAGCATCGCTGCCGCTCCGATATTGTTACCACCATTGGCTGGGGTGATCAGGTCACAATGCCGCTGTATCACCAGCACCAGTATCCCGTGTTACTTGGCCCAGTACGGAGAAGGACCACTAACGCGTCATGATTGAGGCATTGCGTATGACCATCAACAGTGTGGCGTGCATATTGGTAGGGAAATGCAGATGCAAAAATATGTAATGTGATAACCTTTTTTGCGAAAAGTCGATAGCAATGGAAATGATCTGAATGAAGTTTGGATATAAAACTGCGCCCATTTAGATGAAAGATTCCCTTCGAAAGCTTAAGATGTCGTGCAGGCGCACATTTACATAAATGGAAGAAAGTAACCGATTGAATTCATTCTGTTACGAAGAGATGAGCCTCGTTTATTGTTGTCGCCGGTGTTCCGCCCGGTCGGAGGAGGCGGCAGAGGTGGCGCAGGTGTTTCCGTGCCGTGCCGCGCGGCCCCCTCGGCTCCCACGTGTTGCCGCCGCCATTCAGGCGGTCCCCAGGTGATCGGACACGGCGTCCCTCTCTTCCCAGACTCGTTCCTGCTGTTCAACGGCAGCACGGCACGCTCCAGCCCGCTGGGAACGGCCGTCACCCCCGCCAGTCTGGAGGGGCTCAACGACCCCCCGCCGGCCGCCGGTAAGTACGTACGAGCACGGCGGGGTGCTTATGTAGCTTCTCAGCGCGACTGTCTGCCACTTCAGGGAAAGGCGATCGATCGCAGCTCCTCTCAGGCCCGATCAGGAGGTCCTTACCACGGTGACTCGTCAAGAGGGTCGTGGCTCTCATAACTGAGCTGATTCCTTCCAAGATGGCTCCTTTCTCCTACCAAAGTGTCGGCCGCGTACGCCCGGGTCCCGATGACTGCACACCGATACCGGTTCACTCCGTGGCTGCCGGTGTCACGCGGAGACGTGCCGCCCCCGACTTCGCGGCGGTAGTGGGGCTGTCGAACGGTGGACTATCCGTCAGCGCTCAGCACTGCTGCCCTGGCGGGCGGCGGCACCTCGGGCGAGGAGATCGGCGGCCACGGCCGCCAGAGAGGGCGTGGGATGCTGCAGACCGTGGGACCGCCTACTGGGTCTGAGGCCGCCCACTTGCTACGATCAGCGACAGACACATGGGCGGTGCATACGAGTAGGCGGCGCGTAGGCGGCACATGGGCTTTACAAAACTAGCGCATACTTCAATTGCTTATAAACGAGACAAGGGCGACATATAAACGGCCATGAACGGCACTTTGGTGATGCATTGACGATATAATTACGAGCGGCTCCAGAGACCCATGGACATTGAACAGTATATTTCAGCACCGACAACGCAAGACGGCACAGTATTGCACAAGAACGGCACATGGACGATACATGACAACTAATGCGTTAACAATAGGTACACAGATGGCATCCCCGTCCGTCTGCTTTCTTGTTGCGGCGCAGATATGTAAGGCACTCAATGACGTTTTACCTACATCAGAACAGTCGGTACGATTGCGGCACACACTCACTTCATCTCAAGGTGCCAATGAAGCACTGCGGTGCTTTGACTGTTGGTGCCTATAGTTTGCAATAAAAAGGTATATCACAAATGATTGAAGCATTCATTGAGCCTGACGCCATCAGCTTATGCCCACACACGCATGCATGCCTACAGCATAAGCAGCAAGTTGTTTTTGCAAGGTTTTAGCAGCCGTTACGTTTCAAGTGCAGTTAGACAAAGATTCTAGACAAAGTCAACGCACGACTGGGACTACGGCTGCTTCAGAAATTGAGGCCCTTATGGAGAAATATGATGAGCACCGTCAGGATGGTGACGACTGGAAACGGCCTGGAATGGCCGGTCGGCCTGAATGAATTGTGGTGGCTGGTGCAGCGGACTTTTCAGCGAGGCCTCGCTCAGATATATCCTTCGTTGCTACGATATTATGGTATTGTTATGCATTTTATACGTTTATCATGTGTTTGGGTCAATAAGAGGAAATAGGCATCCATTATGTGCATTTCCATCATGTGCCTACTACGCATAGCCAATAAGAACTAAGCAGGATGGCCCTTGCCTCCCTCCTGCCCTGAAATCAACGTCTTAACCCGCGAGTTGCTGGGGGGCGTTAAACGCCCCCACTTTTTTCGCCGGGCCATAGCATAAAAACGGCGCGCCGCAGGCCAAATTTTGGGTACCTGTAGGGAATTGAATAAAGTGTATTCTGACAAAGTTTCAAAAAAATCGGTCTGAAAATTTTTGAGATATCGAGGTTTTAGTGACGTCATGATTTCTGCCTTTTCGACCAAAAACGGCATATGTTCAAAAAATCATATAAAATCACAGAATAGACATACAGACATGCCGTAAACGCCATTAGCCTGCCAATACCATGAAAAATCAAATGGCTATCTTCGATTATTGATTATCGTTCCGCATTTTCCAAAATCTTGAACTGAATCTTGGCAATTTCTCGTGACTACTTCACGACCATGATACATGCATTTCTTAAATTGAACTTTTTGAGCCAAACACGTACACATATGATAAAATGAATGTCACCATGCTATTCTACGCCCCAAATTACCCATAAAACATGTGTCACAGGCTGCGAATATCAGTTTTGATTTTCGGGATATTTGCCTACCCGGTTGACCTGACCTTGACCCTGACCTATGCTTGACTGACCCCTACATGGAGCTGATACTCTTGTAGGCCTTATATGATGGATTGTGCACCGTTTTGACAGAGTTTATGACGAGAGGCGCCCATTGCGAAGTCCTGAAGTCCATGCTACTGAAAGCCCGATTTCAGGTGTTTGACCTGACCTTGACCCGACCTGTGACCTCAAAATTCAACTTTAAAGTACTCATCTGAAGCGTCTCGTCGCGTTCTTTCGTTTCCCGCTTCGTGCGTTTCGCTGCGCCTATTGGTTCTCGAGTTATCGGCTGGGGGCGTTTAACGCCCTCCCCCCCCCCCCAGCAAACGTGGGTGGCGAAATACTCCAGCAACTGCCGGGTTAAAATTTTAGATTTTTCGCTCACATGTTCAGGGTAGGGACTTTGGAGCGTGGTGGAATGTAATTACATACTTTGCACGCATACAACCGTTTTTTTTTTAACACCATTTGAGCTATTACAATTTTTGTTGAAGTTGATCGCTGCAAGCTTTCTTTCAATCCTTTGTTCTCATTTTAATTGAACGACGCCTTTCTAATCATATCCCGTCCTACACGTCATTGGGGAAATTGAATGACGAACTCTTTTCTAAAGCGCGTGGGCTTTTCTCATCAGGCGGCGCGAGGTTTTCGGCCGGTTTGTGCGGCTCGATCTGGCTCTGGTTCATTCTGTCCGACACTGGCTGAGCTACGGGCCTCATTTAGCTAATGGCACCGGTGAATGAGCTGGGCCGGCCGGCGGGGATGATTCGGTTTGAGGCGGTGGGCGCGGCGGCCGCCACATGGCGCCCCGTTCCCCGGAGAGGTGGCGGACGAGCGGTGCCGCGCGGTGGGTGGATTACCTACCCCGAACGGGCGCCGGCTCAGTGGCCTGGACGCGGGGACAGGCGGACCAACTGAGAGAGAGAGAGAGAGAGAGAGAGAGAGAGAGAGAGAGAGAGAGAGAGAGAGGGAGAGAGAGAGAGAGATTCTCCTCCTACCATGTACTGCTGGTGAACTAATTTGCGCCATTATCACTAATTTTACCAGATCCTTTCGTGTAATCGTGCCCGTCCTCATTGCCAATGCCTACGTAAATGTGCGCGACTGCGGCCACGCCTGCGGCTGCGACTGTGACTGACACGGAGCGTATCCCCCCCCCCCGCAGAGTGGACCGGTCGGCCGAGCGACATCCAGCTGACGGCGCCGCCCTCCAGCCGCTCGCCGGCCTGCTCCGTCGCAACCACCATAGACCTCGACGGCATCATGGCCAAAATCGAGAACGACAACAAGATACTGGCCGAGCTCGACAAAAACCGCTCCAACATCGGTGAGAGACGCGCAGAAACAGCAGGAGAGGACCGAATGACTTCATTTGAAATGATGGGAGTACTTCCAAAAGTCAGATGAGGATGTGCTTATATAAAAGTGAAACGCCAAGACGTAAGACAGGCTACTTCTCGATCCTTCAAAAGTGGGATAGCTTTAGCCGTTCTGTTGACCATGCATCACTCAGGAAACATTCGACTAAAACATGACTGCTAAGCTGGCCGAGGCTTTATTTAGACAGCGTTAATAATTGAAGCTATTTTTCAGGCCTGAGCACCAGTTCTTCAATAGCTGCCACTAGCAAATTCAACTCCACGATTCCGACGACTTTCTCGACCTCGCGGGGAGTGTCTATCGGCGGAGCCAGGCCGTTGAACCGTGTGGGGACGACTCTGGGCCAAGTGACGGGTCAGCTGACAGCCAGCCACCCCTCCGCCATCCCCAGTCAGCCGGGGCTGAGCAGCCAGCCGGGACTGAGCAGTCAGCCCGGACCGGCCGGTCAGTCCGGGGTGCACAACCACTCCGGGCTCCACCAGCCGGGCGCTCTCAGTCAGGCCGGCCTGGCCGCCCCGACAGTGCTGTCTGGGCAGCCGGGAGTGCTCCCCGCCGCGCCGGCGGTCCCCACGCAGTCTGTGCTGCTGAACAGTGTCGGAGTGCCGGGTCACAGCGGAGTGACGGCCGCCGGCGGACCGCTGCTGGGCGGCCACTCGGTGCTGCCGGCTCTCCCCGCCGTCAGTCAGCCCCCGCTGCTCAGCCAGCCGGCGCTGCTGCGGACACACATCAGCCAGCAGCCCAGCCTGCTGACGGCGCACATCAGCCGGCCGCTGACGTCCGCCGCGCCAGCGACCGGCACCCTGCTCCAGGGGCGGCCCGGAGCCGGGCTGTCGGCGCTCCACCCGACCGGTAAGGACCGCCCCGGGCCGCAGACAGCCTCCCGATCCGGTAAAGAGCCGCCCGCAGTCGGCACCGCGGCCGCCGCGGGCGTGCTGCCCTGGCAGCGGCCGCGGGCAGAGCGCTGTGCGCCGGTTATACCGCTCAGCTCATTACGTCGTCACGGTAATTTTATGCCGGCCGTTGTGATCTTGAGATCCAGACGGCTATTCAGTTTACGGCTATGCTCCTCCACAGCCTAAGTAGGCGTCTGTGCGGTTACTTTAGTTATTTATCTTGTCCGACACGTGCTATAGAGGGCGGGGATATAGGCATCCGGGAATGGGAGCCATTAGATGTCGTATGTCCTCTGGCCTCTCAGGGACACATGGGCACGTGTCTCCCTGTATGAGGGCAGGTACACAAAGTGCATGCCAAAATCCTTAAAAACGAAATTTTCATTTCTGCTGAGTATTTTTCAATGCCGAATGACGTCTCTCTACAAAATGATGTGTTTTGTAAGAATAAATCGAATATTAGTTTATCAGCTCAACTCAGCTTACCGAAAACGATCGGCAAAAGACATGCTCCATCGTTAATATTTTCAGTCTGTGCGATGTAAGGGAATTTCAATCACGGAGTCTCAGTCCTAAGTTCAAGCATTCAACGATTTACTTACTTTTGTTCCTTCGCAAGATTGTTTAGATAAAAGGGACTCACTTGCACTGCATTACCGCATGTTAACTATCTCTTACTTTGTTAGAAGATGCTATCTTTCCTGTAAGTGCAACACTTTTGTGTAACTAGCCACTGTTAACAGCCATGATGTGAAACTGACCACTCTAAATGGTCGAAATGAAGAATGCACCGGTCTGCAAAGCGTTTAACTGCCACCGCCCTATGTAAGGAGGTAGCTGCGCCGCGGCAGTGCGTTGTCGCACCGTCGAGTGCCGCGGCCGCCGGTGTCGCCTGCATTATGCAGCTGTTTCACTTGTTGTGTCACCCTCAGGTCGACTGGACGGCGTAAACGGCGCACCGACCGCCACTCTGCTGGGCACAAACGCGGCGCACCTGGCTGCCAGCGCGGCAACCGTGGCGCAGCACCCAGCCGCGCTGCCGACGTCCATCATCGATGTGCTGGAGGTGCCGGGCAAGGGCAAATGTCAGGTGCACGTGGCCAGGTGAGACCGTCACTCCCCAGATTTCTCCGGGCATCTCAGTTAGAAAGCTCCTTCTCCGGGGCTCGTCCCCCTGTCCCCTATTCTTTGTGTATATTGACGCACAGATTGTCATTTCTTTTACTGAAGCAGGATACTCTAAATGAAAATGATTTTAGAAACGGCAGGTATCGCTACAAATGTGACGTATTACGAAGTTTGGTTGAATGGTTTTTATTTTTTGTTGTTGACCGCGTCTTCGAAGTTCGACGCTGCGAGATCCATCCAGAAATATGAAGGTTTGTGTCTTGAAATCGTTCACAGACGTCCAATACACATGGAAACACTCCCGGCAAATGGATAGAACACAAGACCTTGATTCTTCTTGGGCACGAACGGTAGGTATACGTAGCGATACAATAAACTAATGGAAGTAGCTGGCCGCGCCGAACGCTTATTTAATCTGACAAGTGATCCCTTGGAGGAGCATCTCGTAGATAGCCCACGGCCCATGCGACTGAACGTGAGCCGACCCGGCCCGGGGCCTTCTATTGACCCGATCGACGAGCTCGGCCGCCCGCCCGCCGGGGCAGACGGCCTTGTTGGGCGGGCTCTCAACAGCCGACCGAATCCATACGTGCGATTAGGTTAACCAGTCGGGAGCCGAGTGCCTTCGCAATGTCGTCTTAGAGTGACCTTCCGACCCGTATCGACTTGGAAACAATCCATTGCTGACGAAACGACACACTGAACCAACATTAGGCTTCAGATGCCAGCAGCATCAGCATATGTTCACGTACATCAACACATGTGGCTGCCTTTGTCAATGTCATCGGAAGCATCATCTCACTGTATGGTGCTTATAAAAGATGCACGTTCGATTTAGTTTAGGGCACATTATTACAAAGCACGATTGGAAACGTCCAAACTATACCGTTCAGCTCCACGTGATGTTCCTAGAAAATTGTAATTACCGCTTATCTAGCTCCGCATCGGATCATCCAGCCTTGGCCGCTCAGAAATTATTTTGTACTCATTTCAGCACTGCGCGGTGCAATCGGTGCAATCAAACCGATCCCTCCCGGTGGTGCCACTGTCGGGGACGATGCGTCGAATGGTTGCTGATTTGTAGCTCAATTAGTTCTGCTCTGCGACTGCAGTTTCATCTATGTTGGGAGTTAGTTTCTGTCTGATTTTGTCATGCAACGGTGCTGATTGCTGCAATACTGTGAGATTCATCTTGAAAACCAGAGCTTTATGGAATCACGCTTGTCTTAGGCAGTCAAGTAATGAGGCATACATAATGACCCTATCGGTATCGCCGACTTTTTACATCTTTATCTGATACCTTTTTGTGCATCGCTTTACAAACCTTTTTGCCGATAACTCTTAGTTTTGTCTTATGCTTCCACTGTCACCGTACCTAAAACGCCACATTTCCGTAGGAAAGCGTTTTCAAGGTGAGAGCCTAATGGGGCTCTCCCCTGGCCCAAGATCCAGGGAGAGGTAACGTACGTACCACTCAAGGAGAAAATCATTGTTCGCTGATTCCAGTTAAATGCGCTACTCACTTAACACTTCCCTCACTTCCACCCGACCACCCCAGGTTTTAGCACGGCCCGCTTCTCCCGCTGGGATGTAACGTCCCGCTCCGCCCGGGCAGGTTCTCCTACGACCCGTTCCAGCACTCGCCGAACGAGGCGCCCGAGCTGGAGCTGCGCCTCAAGGCCGGCGACGCCGTACTCGTCTGGGGCAGTATGGACGAGGACGGTTTCCTGGACGGGGAGACGCTGGACGGCCGGCGCGGCCTAGTGCCCTCCAACTACGTCACCAAACTGGTGGGCGCCGACCTGCTGGCCTTCCACCGCCGGCTCACAGAGCAGCTGGCCGGCAGGACGGCCGCCGACGCCGCCAGCAGCGCCAAACGCGCCGCAGCAGCGCTCAGGAGGGCCGAGGAGCGCGGCGGCGAGGAGGCGGCGCTGCGACACCGGCTGGGTGAGTGGGGGTGCTCGGAGTGTGTGTGGGGGGGGGGGGGCGCCGGGCGGGGCTCCGGCACCGGCTGGGTGAATGTGTGTGTGGGGGGGCTCAGACACCGGCTGGGTGAGTGGGTAAGGAGGGGGGGCTCCGACACCGGCTGGGTGAGTGGGTAAGGAGGGGGGGCTCCGACACCGGCTGGGTGAGTGGGGACGGCGCTCAGGAAGGGGGGCTCAGGCGGAGGGGCGGCGCTCTGGCACCGGCTGGGTGAGTGGGAGGCGGTGCTCAGACGCCGGCTGCACCTCCCACTCGCCCATGGGTGAGTGACACAAGACATTGACGTCGCTTATCCAAAATGTCACACGATCGTTGGACACTTTATTTCATGGATGCCCATGTAAGTCGTTACCGGTCTCGCTGACAATTCTTACGGTGATGAAGTTATTCAATTTAGCTATTAAACTAAGAAAAGGTCGCCACCACATGACACGTAGCCTGAGATCAAGCCGGGGATGCGGCTGGCACACGCATTTCAACCCTCGCCATGAGGCAGAATTCGGAGGCCGTGCCGCGGCTCCGCTGACCTGGCATTTGCGTCAACGCCTCGCCTCTCTCGCTGGGGTGCCATTAGCGGTAATGTAACGCGATATGGACGTGGTGTTACGTCCGTTATTTATTTTTGCAGTGGGCAATGAAAACATAAGGCTGCGAATTCCCAGTCATGTGGAGGCCCCGTTCGTTCCACGTAATGGTTCATTTGTGCTGGCGGTATTTTCTGCAATGCTGTTTTAAAAGGAAGTTCTTCTAAAACATCTTCGGTACAATATTTATTCGCGTTCTCACTTTGCGGTCAGAATTTTTCTTTGGGTAGGTACAAGATGTTCGCCTTTCTTCATGCCCTACTAAAATTATGCTGTTTTTTTATTTGGCGGTTTATCACGAAAATATTTGTTTGGTGAGTAACTGTCACATTTTGAGACTTCCGACGCTCTGAATTATGTGTGCCTGAGAACTCTTTGACATGGTTGCTGCTTGGCGCTTTTTTTCTTCTTCAAAATTGGCTTCCAAGCCATGTGTAGATTAACATACAATGCCGAGCTCTTCCACACGCATCAATTTCGCCAGAATGGTGCCACTTTTACGCATACAGAATCGCAAAAAAAAACAATTATAAGGCAATCATCCCGAGCTCCTGCTTCTGACCTTTGTCCACGACATGCTCTGTAGAGGCACCGCGGCCGCTGATTCTCGCTGGGTACCGGAGCTCTTCCGCCTTGTGGGCTCAACGCAGTGCGCTCCCGTTTTGTCTCGGCTCTACATACTGTCTCGGCCTTGTTGAATACATATTTTATATAATACGAGCCTTGTCGCTCCTTTGTTGTGTTCCAGTGTCCGATATCGAGCAGGTCGCTGCATCCTTCTTGTTTCTGCGCTCTTGTCTCGTGTTGCGTGCCTGATTGACTTTTGTCCGCGCCTTGACCTCATCTGAAATGTTTTCTTAATCTGAACGACGTCCAGTTTCACTGTCTTCCTGTGCTTCTGTCTTTGAGTCAGAGTTCCTATCTAGGACTCCTGTAACTTGCCTCAGCCCATTGTCCGTTGCTGTAACGTCTTTCAGCGCACCGTGTCACCTTAGCCCGTTGTGCTGTTTGGCCACCCAGCCAAACAGCAGACAGCTGCAGTATTATGCTGTGCTGTGACGCGCTGTGCTGTCGGACCCCTCAGCCCGCCGTACCCATGCCGTGCTATGCTGTGCCGTGTTGGGCAGCGCTGCGTCGTTCGCCCCTCTTCCTGCCGTGCTGTGCTGTGTTGTGCTGTGCTGTGTTGTGCTGTGCTGTGCTGTTCAGCCTCACATCCTGCCGCGTTGTGCTGTGCTGTGCTGTACACAGTGCCGTGCTGTGCTGTTATCCCCATCATGCCACCGCGCCCCGCCCCGCAGCTCAGAGGCGCCAGTCGGACCACGGCCGCCGGTCGGCGCGCGCCGTCCCAGAGCTGAGGAGGGCCCAGTCGTTCCGCTACGAGCGCGCCTCGGACGGCCCGCTGGCCTCCGCCGCCGGTGGGTCCGCTGACCCTGACCTCTGACCTCTGACCCCTACTCCTGACCCTGACCTCTGGCACCTGACCTGTTACACCTGACCTTTGACCCCTGCTCCTGACCCTGCTTCTGACCTGAACGACAAGCATCTGGGCCAAATCCCTTGCCCATACCATCTGACCTCTAAGTGCTAACCCCTGACTCCTAACTCCTGATCCTGATTCCTGACACGTTACACCTTGCCCTTTACCCCTGACCCCATACCCTGACCCCTGACTGGTAACCCCCGTCGGCCGCTGCTGCACATTTGGACAGCTCGTCTGGGCGGCACGCACGCCATTTGCCTCCAGCACGCATGTCGTTGTCGAGCATGTCAGTCACGCACATCCTGTCTTATCGTCGTGGCGATGTGCCGTTCCCTGCCTTAGTGAGCTGTTCCCTGTCGTATTGTGTAGTTCCCTGCCTTAGTGAGTCATTCCCTGCCGTTCCCTGCCGTAATATGTCGTGCCTGTCCTAGTGTGCAGTTCACTACCGTGGTGACCCGTTCCCTGCCGTATAGTGGGCTGTCCCCTGCCGTATATATTTAGTTGCCCGTTCCTATCCGTGTGCCGAGTAGGCAGTATATCCCTGCCGTAGTATGCCGTTCCTTGTGTCGTTCTCTGTCGTATTGTGCCGTACCTGCCATAGTGTGCCGTTTCCTGCCGTAGTATACCGGTATATACCGGTCCCTATCGGTCTCTCCTCGAATAGCGCATTTTTATACAAAGCAATTTGTTGTAGGATTTCCGGGAGTGCAAAGCAAGAATCGGCTTTGTTGAGCTGCCCTGTATATTTTTGAATGCATATATGTATGTTTTTAAGAATGTAAGCGCATGAGATTGCGTGAAGTTAACGCTATTATTGCAGTCTTCGATTGTACTTAACCTTGACTGGTATGTATTGCTTGCCTCTGAGAGGAACTTTTCATTTGCTGGCATAAAGAAATCACGCATTATTGGTACACTCGTTTGTCATTTATACGTTTTGTTGTTATGTTCTTGTGAAATGCATGAGATGTATTTACTGTGTGAAATCTTCTACACCGTAGCGCTATTCATAGCAGCTATTCAGTAGCGACAGACCCTTTTTATCACTGAATAACATCGGTAACTTTAACAGGCCCTTTGGATTATGCAGCAGTCACTTGTGACTTTTACAGCGTTTACAGGTATATTAGCCTTTTTAATTGCCGATTATTACACTGTCAAGCCGACGAGCCCATTTAACTATTCATGTTCCACCTCTGCTCAGTGCTCTGTTAGTATTTGATATTCCTCTACTACAGTGTTTGCCCGACCACGCATTGCCATTTGCCAAGGCTCACTGTTATTGATCTGAGGTTGCCGCGTCGTATGAACTTACCAATTACCCATGTGTCATCGGTATCGAATGTGTCCCCGCGGTGACTTTTGATGGCCTCGGCCGCGCGCGGTCGGTGTCACCACTCGGTGCCATACTATCTTCAGGCCGCTGTCATGACCTGTCGTATTGTGGCTTCAGATGACTCGCGGGTGGGCGGACAGCCGCACGTCGGCTTCGACCTTGACCCGGGCGTGCTGAGTGACGAGGCGGAGCGCGACTTCCGCGTGGACCCGACACTGCCGGCTGGTGAGTGGTCGACGCGGAGCTGTCTCCTGGCGGCAGGGGCATGGGCGGCACGGGTCACTGTGGATACGTCACGGGTCATTTTGGGTACGTCACTGGTCACTTTGGGTACGGCACGGGTCACGGGTCACGGGCCGTGGTGAGTATAGACGACACGTGTCACTGTGGACGGTGGATGACCAGTCTACCATATGCCGACGACAATGACTTGGACCACTCAGCAACAGTGTGGTGTGGTTCGTATTCCCAGATAAGGCCAACAGTCCTATATTCGACAACCTAACAGCCACAGCTCAACGGTTCAACATGTCACAATCGAACAGACAGCAGTCGAGTCGCTCCTCGACGCCCAGCCGAGCGGAAGGCAGCAGCCGCCTGCCTGGAAGCCGTCATACTGCGCCGCCGTACACTCGTGTGATGCGGCACAGTCTACCTACCGTCTCTGGCGGCTGCTACCTCTCGACGCCCAGCCGAGCGGAAGGCAGCAGCCGCCTGCCTGGAAGCCGTCATACTGCGCCGCCGTACACTCGTGTGATGCGGCATATACCGGGGTTACATGAGCAAGTAAATGCGTATCAGGAACGGATTTTCCTATTCGCTCACCATTGTAGTCCGTTTGTAATGCGTATTAACTCTGCTCATGTAACCCCGAGCACAGTCTACCTACCATCTCTGGCGGCTGCTGCCGCCTCTCGACGCCCTGCCGAGCGGAAGGCAGCAGCCGCCTGCCGAGCATACCTCATACTGCGCCGCCGTACACTCATGTCATGCGGCACAGTCTACCTACCATCTCCGGCGGCGGCTGCCTCTCGACGCCCAGCCGAGCGGAAGGCAGCAGCCGCCTGCCGAGCATACCTCATACTGCGCCGCCGTACACTCATGTCATGCGGCACAGTCTACTTACCATCTCCGGCGGCTGGAGCGGGACGCTGAGGATGGAAGGGGCAGCGGGCAGTGGGCACTGAGGACTTGAGGAGCATTGGGCAACAACTGTGATATTTTATCCGGACACCTTTCAAGAAGATAGGATGTCTTTGGAGTTTCATCGTTTTTATGTTGAGATGGTAAATTTTGTTGAATGAAGTTTTCATAGTCATGACATACATCTTTCCTGTGTCAGACTCAGTTGTGTCCTTGACAATGAAACCGTTTTTATAGTGATATATTATATTTTGCTATATTTATACTTTACTTTGCTTGTCTGGAAAATATTAATCAAAATAAACAACACAAAGGGTCAAGAGGGCCGCCTCATGTCAGGCGGAAATGGCGTTCTAAAACGACGTGAATGTACGAGTACACACTAGGATTTCGCATGGTTGTCGGATATTCTAGTTACGTTGGTTGTATGCGACTTGACAGCCTGACGCTATAACGGGAGTGGAAGCTGTCATATTCCGGTCAGAGCCATTGGGCTCTTAAAGTTTACGTCATGCTGTCATGCAGCCGTCATTTTACATCCGAAACCTACATGCATGTCTAAATCTGGAGACGCATAACATTGAATTTCAAGAATTGAATTATTCAGCTATTATTAACCATTGTGGCAACACTGCGACAAAGTGGGATGGATGTTTTTTTGCAGTGTGCGTATACCTACTGTTAAAAAGCTGGATTTGAGTGTAAACTAAGCGGTGAATCTTTTTCGACCCTACTCGTACGCGCACCGCATCTTTGCTAGCTTCTCCAGCTAGCCAACGAGGAATACTAAGATATAACGTATTGACGAAGTGTCATTTCTAATCTTCCTCAGGTAAATGATAGTAATTCGTATTCGTTTCGGGCTACACTGAGGTAAAAAATTGTTAAAAACCAAATATTTCGGCTTTATTGAGTAGCCTTGTTCACTGGTTTGAAATATGAAATACAAAAAGACGATACAAATGTGATGACATGCGAAACAGGTTCGTGCTATCAATGATCTGTGACTTCCTTTTTTTACACTGTGCATACGCTGAAACAACCATACAGTTCAAATCATCACACATCGTTATGACAGTCGTAGTAAGATATTATACATCGTCTGATTCGTATCATCGTCGAAAGTCGGAATCGTATAAGCGCCAGACGGTCTCTTATAAAAATGCATTAAAACCTGTACTTTGGCTATCATGCAAAGACAAGAAAGAGTACCTAGATACTTTTGAGATGCAAAAAAAAACTATGGTTCCCCATCTATATTACTATTTGTGGTGACGTAGTTTCTGTCTATTACGAAGGTCGCGACATGGTGCTACGTAGCGCGGGTTACAGGCCACACCGTTGCACCTACCGCGCTGAAGTTTGCGCAACTCATAGAACAAGGATGGACAACGTGCCTTTGATGGGTCTCAGCTCAATCGGATCGATAGCGAGCGCGTGGCGCGTGTCCAAAAAGTGCAAATTCGCGTCATAGACTTTACATGTATTAATCGGCTGGCAAAAACGGGCGAAAACAGCCAAATTTGCCCGAGACGGGTCCGGTCCCGGTGCAATATCTCGGTAACCGTGGGCCCGACCGGTACGGGGAAAACAGCATCGTGTAGAGAATCGAACGGGCTATCGAATGGTGTGCGGTGCAGGGGTTGGCACGCGCCACGTGCACCGGGGAGGACACTTTCTTTTGAAAAATGGACGTTTTGGACGGATTTTGGAATTTATATTAATTTCAGGTGATCGTCAGACGGAATGAGTTGAAACAGCGCCTATTAGCAATAAAAATGTACCGTCTCTCATGGAAAAATTGTGGAAAGCTAATTGATCAAAAACAATGTGGAAAAAATCGCTGAATTAAATGGTATTTGTCCAAAATGTGCCACTAAATAATTACACGGATTTTGCTGCTTAACCTGATACGTTTGACAATTGAAAATGCTATCATTGGAAAGAGCATTCAATTATCTCCAAGATCCAATCATCACGTTTGCATGACAAGCAACAGTATTCTTAAAAATATAAATGTTTCAAACCTCTGCAAAACGATTTTTAGTGAAAATTATCTACGCCTTTAATTTGTCATAAAACTACGCGCCTAAATTATAAAGCACATTTGACAGATTCTGAAGTGGAAAGCATGCTTATCAGACACGGGCACCTCGATGCGGTGGATATTTTTTCCACAAACCAAAACGTTTAGCCGTCAAAAAGCAATCGACCGAAATGGATAGATAACCCAACCGACACAAGAACAACCGAACACCCGCCGATCGAAAATATCCCTTTTCGCGTTGCGGAGCACGCGGGTCACCCTAGTTTTCTCTATAAAACTAACACATGTCAACACAAAGCAACGTCCCAAATCGGGCTAATGGTAGCTTTGCCCACCCCCCTATTCATTGCTGACTTGTGTATCTTTATCTCTAGAGCTTCCCGAATCGTTCTTCTTTTCCAGTTCCGTTCAATGGCCAAGGTTGTAGCTTTTCGCGGGTCCAAATCTCTAGCACATGAGAAGGCGTGTTGTGCTGTAGCCAGGGGTGTAACTTTATGATATTGTCAGGGGGGGCTCAGCAGTCAGCAGCAAAACTTTCCATATTTGGGATGTCTGTACGTACCTACGGGTTTTCGACAGGGGGGACGGATCGGCCGGCTAAAAACTTAAACCTATAGATATTGTTACTGTACTTTGTCAGGCCGATGCACTATATGTCTAATGGTATGGGCCAAATGCCTACACAGTACAGTCTGAAGTCCGTTTCCATTTGACACCGTTAACGGTAAAGCCTTTTGTCTTCTACGAGGTATACCTACATGTTTACAATTACATGTGCCACCGCAGGCTGATAGGTAATGCCATAGACCACTATACCTATACCTATATACGATATATAGTGGTCTATGGACATGGTAATGCATATACATACATGCCTGCGTCTGCGTGTGAGGATGCTTAATCACATGCTTGATGAGGGTGCTTAACGAGGGTTACAACTCCCGATCTGTTTTTGACTCGAGTATGAATTGGCGGCGCGAAGCGCCGCGAAAATTGGCAAAATCACTTGGCAAAACAGCTCTAAAACATGACTTTTGCAGCCTGTGTAACAAGTTTGATGCCAGAGCACCTAAGATCTGATCACCAAGTCAAGTGGCCTTGCCCTTGCATGTAAAAAACTGAGGCCCTTTCAACCGTATAGCTTATATCCTAGAAGTTTGAGTTTGTTTTAAACTGCTCAGCACTCAGCAATGCGTAAGGAATCGAAATCCGGCGAGTTTTTGGAAATTGGAGAAACTTTTTATGGATATCCCCAATCTGTAGCGTCCAGATTCAGAACCGCTTTCTGGATCCGCCACTGGTCAAGAAACATTCAGTCAAAAGAAAAAGGCTCATACCACAATTCAGTTTTACCGTGCTGTGGGCTTTAGGAGCATATCTGTTGTCAATGGTACAGAAAGAGTCGATCAATCGACTCTGCAGCACTGCACAGTAATGTAAAGGTAACGGCGCAAGCAATTCGTGTAATTCGGATTTTATATCTGTGATCTTACGAAGGGACAATGGAGAAGTAAGCAGGAAATACAAAAATTGGCCTAGGCATTGTTGGAGGGACCCATTTGTTTGGAGCAGTCGATCACTTTTTACGAATCTTTTTATCTCAGCCTCTGAAATAATGGGACGCCCTCACGACGGTGAAGCTGACTGAAACTCAGAGACCCAGGCGCAGGTTTAACCACCGATCCACATCTACCCAGTAGCGGCGGAACACTTTCATTTAAGGGGGGGAGCACTGCCGACTTTTGGTCCCATTCTTTCCATGCAACGCCCATGGGGCTCATGTTAACCCTCGCCCGTATGGGGGGGGGGTCGACCGGACGAAACGAACCCTTCGTTTTTTTGCGAAGACTCGCGTAAACAGCGGCAGATCGCGACGAAACTTTCAGTACCCTCGCGTTAATCAATTTTACACCTACCCTGAAAATTTCATGACCCTTGTCCAAATGACCTTTGACCTGTGACCTACTTTTCGAGACCATGTTTGGCCGGAATCGCGATTCGGCGCATGTCGACTCGCATTAGCCGCGCGTTTGCAGTCTTTTCGTGGTTTTAAGCGTTCAACATGGGATATAATGTGGCTCCCATGCATTAGGGTGGATGTCAAGGTCACCGGAAGGTCAAGTCAGGTCATTGACCTTTGATGACCTCGGTTCATTTTTCGAGTTTTACATGGTTCTAGACTAGATGCATTTAGGCTAGGTCGGGTCGGGTCAGGTCAGGTCAAGTGAAGTACACCAGTAGGGGTCCTGCCAGGTATTCATAGTAGGTGTCAACCACCTCTGACAGCTTCGTAACCTATTAGGAAGGCACCAAAACTACTTCGTAAATGTCCATATGGTTGCCAAATTCCAATTCAGCTCCAAAAACTAGCCTAGAAACATGTAAAACTCGAAAAAGTGAACCGAGGTCATCAAAGGTCAATGACCTGACCTGACCTTCAGGTGACCTTCACACCCACCTTAATGCATTGGGAGCAACATCATATTACATGTTTGAACGCTTGAAAAAAACGAAAAGACTGCAAACGCGCGGCTAATGCGAGCCGACATACGCCGAATCGCGATTCCGATTTCCGACCAAGCATGGTCTCGAAAGTAGGTCACAGGTCAAAGGTCATTTGAGTCAGGGTCATGAAATTTTCAGGGTAGGTGTGAAATTGAATAACGCGAGGGTACTCAAAGTTTCGTTGCGATCGGACGCTTTTTACGCGAGTTATTCGCAAAAAACTGAGGTTCGACCCCCTCCCCCCTATACGGGCGAGGTTGTTTACAAGTCCATGATCATCCCCCAACCTGGAAACTCATGTGTATGGTGGAAAATGGGGAAATTGGATGTTAGTGTCTTGCTATTTGTGTGTATTTGTCAAGAATTAAAAATCAATCAAGGGGGGCTCTAAGCTTCCCAAGGGGGGCTCAGTTCAGCACAGGGGGGGCTCAAGCCCCCCCAAAGAGATATAAAGTTACGCCCCTGGCTGTAGCCGATGTCTCCGTGCGACCATGTCTTATATCAGCCACATGTTCTTTCAGCCTCGTAAGCTTGGGACGTCCACTTTCTCCGACATAAGACTCCCCGCAATCACATTTAATCTGATAGATGACACCCTTTTGCATTTCTGGATCCGTCTTGTCTTTTACTTGAACTAGTTGATCTCGAAGCGTTCTAGATTTGTGCCCTGTTTTGATGCTGTGTTGACGTAAAAGTCTTGCTATGGCTCGCTCAGTCCTTGCACGTAAGGTAAAGAAATGTACGTTGTTCGGCTTGTTTCTTCATGTGCACCTGTCCTATTTGCTTTCTTCTGCGCTAATCCCTTTTTAATCACATGATTTGGGTATCCGTGCTGCTTGAACACTTTCCCTAAATGCTCCTTTTCTTCCGCTTCCGCTTCTTTGGTGCTAGATATTTTCTCTGCTCTCCTGGCGAGGTTTCTGATGACTCCAACCTTCACTGCTGACGCGTGATTTGAGTTGTTTCTTATGTAAGTGTCACTTGCCGTTGGTTTCCTGTAAACAGCGGTTCGAAGACCCTGTGCACTGTCCCTGCTGACGCATACATCGAGAAACGACAGTTGGCCGTCCATTTCCTTCTCGGCGGTGAATTGAATACTTGGATATAGGCTGTTCATAAGCTGCATGAATTCATCTAAAGCTGTTTCCCCGTGAGACCAGATAACAAAGGTATCGTCTACATATCGGCGCCAGTAGGATGGTTTTAGCGGAGCTACAGCTATTAGCCTTTCCTCAAGATGCTCCATGAAAGCGTTGGCGAGTACAACTGACAGGCTAAGCCCCATCGGCGCGCCTTCTACCTGTTCAAAAAACTCTCCTTGGAAGACAAAGTATCTACACTCAAGACAGGCTAACATCAGCTTACGGATAGCATCTACAGAGAGCTCACTCCTCTCGGCCAGCGTTTCGTCATCATTGAGTTTCTGACACACTACATCTACAGCGTCCATCACAGGTACTTTAGTAAATAGAGAAACAACATCAAAGCTCACCATTACATCTGATTGCGAGATTTCCATTTCCCTCAGCTGATTTACGAAAGCACTTGAATTGGGTACCGTATACTCAGATTTGCCCACCACAGGACTGATCACCTTCGTCAGGTACGATGCTGTTTCGTACGCTGGAGAGTCGATCATGCTAGTGATAATTTTTTACCTCAGTGTAGCCCGAAACGAATACGAATTACTAAGATATAACGTTTTATGGGGACCAGCTTCATCATGCCCTTTTATGTGCTTTGAATTTTGATACCAATATACCTTCTCTCGTTACAACAACCACATCGCTAAATGCCACTTTAAGTAGCTACCCAACGTTTTTATCGTGTGCATGGTCAGGTTCAGTGCATCTGCAACTGACTCTGACCCAGGATCTGACCCCGGTCCGAACTGCGGTGTTGTCTTTGACTCCGCCGATGACCCCGGTCCTGCCCCCGCTCCCCTCCTGACCTGCAGTGCCGGCGCCCCGTCACAGCTGACCCCGCCCCCCCCCCCTGACCGGCAGTGCCGGCGCCCCGCCAGCTGACTCCGCCCGCCCCCCTGACCTGCAGTGCCGGCGCCCCGTCAGCTGACGCTGGAGCGGCAGCTGCACAAGTCCGTGCTGCTCGGATGGACCCCGGCCGACTCCGGGTCAGGAGGGTCCGGAGAGGTCATCGAATGCTACCACGTGTTCGTGGACGGCCTGCTGCGGTGCACGGTCAGCGCCGGCGAACAGTGCCGCGCCCTCCTCGAGGGCGTCGACCTGACCCGGGTGAGTACTGACCTCGACCCGGCGTGACCTGGGGGGATACCCCGCCCACGTCCGGCTGTGAACTGACATCGGAGAGATAGTTGCTGTTAATTCCGAACAGTTCGCGAAATGAGCCGGCGTCGAACAGGCGCGGTGCAATTTGGGTTTTTATTGCATGCAATGTATCAGGCCTGTCTTTAAATAAATAACGGAATTAAAACCATTCACATTGATCCACTCGGCAGCCCCATTCCCATCAAGGAAACCGCTCACAAGATAAAAACGGTGCTGCCGCTGACATTCCATTAGTTGTCAATGTGAGCAATGACGGTGGCGTACAGATGTGCATTCCGGCCACGTAATTCAGCTTTTTCATTTGTTGACGTCAAGCTGAACCGGATCGACGAATATTTCCGCTGACACTATTTTAGGCGTTATTTTCAAAAAGTATCTTTAATAGAAGACAAATACGATCGCGATGTCATTTACTATTATTCAAAGATGGACAATGGAGAACAGATTGTCCAATAGATTGAGTAAGGTATGAGATGTGCCTGCGGTGCATGTGAGAAGGGACAGGGTAGAGAGACGGGATGGCGTACAATATCACATGCACCCGTATGACAATGACTGCCTAACGAAGCTAAATCTGTAAGGTTTCTGTTTTACATACCTGATCAGTTATCTCTCCTGTGCTTTTATGATCTCTCTTCTTTCCATGCCCATCGGAAACCCTCCGTTCCGAGCATATCTAGCCCATCCGTGCCTTTCTGACCTCCGTGTGTCTATCTAATCCATCCGTGCCTTTCTGATCTCCATGTGCCTATCTAACCTATCCGTGTCAATCTGACCTCCCCGCTCCTATCTGACCCCCTGTAATCTGACCTCCCCGCTCCTATCTGACCCCCTGTAATCTGACCTCCGCTCCCGGCGCCCCGCTGTATTCTGACCTCCGCTCCCGGCGCGCCGCTGTACAGCGGCACCGTCTGACGGTGCGCTCCGTCACGCCGGACGGGCGCACCTCGGCGGCAGCCGCATGCACGCTGGTCATCGGCCGTGACGTGGCGCCGGCGCCGACGGCCGTGCGCGCCACGCACGTCACGGCCACGTCGGCCATCATCGGCTGGCTGCCCAGCAACAGCAACTGCCACCACACGGTGTGCGTGAACCGGGTGGAGGTGCGCACCGTGGCGCCGGGCGTGCACCGGCACACCATCACAGGTGGGTGGGACACCATCACAGGTGGGTGTAGCACACCGGCACACCATCACAGGTGGGTGGGACACCATCACAGGTGGGTGGGACACACCATCACAGATGAGTGGCACACCATCACAGGTGGGTGACGACAATGACATGATACATATTTAGGCATTACCATCACAGGTCGGCATCGACTCGATGCATAGAGGTATGGACAAATGATTCCAGGCAAGAAATAATGGAGGGAAATCGTTTGACTTGCCCTTTCAGTCTGAGGCGATAATGTCAGAGCCGGGAGGATGATAGAAATTAGGGAGAGACATTGGTCTGGGCGGACACCCTGATACGCCGCCGGGACCGGGACCGTCACGTGGACAACCCACCAATCCTCGCAAACGGTCACCCCACCGCATATGGGTCTTCTGAGGATCTACCCTCGTCGGGTGAAGGTGAACGAACAGTCAGAAACAGAGGTGATAGGCGTGAGGAAGAAGTGTTTATTCGTCTTGGGAATGGAACAGAATAGACGGAGGATGGCAAGACGGCAGAGAAATGGGTTTTTTAAATGTTAATACAAGACATTCGCACCAAGAGTACCACACTAGAAAAAATAAAGGCAGGAAGATGTGACAAATAGAACGTATTCTTGCAGTGTATGGCTGGTTATGAGCCTTTTATTCATTTGACAATTTTCCTGCCCTCTGTCCAGGTCTGTCACCGAACACGGTGTACCGTGTGACGGTGAAGGTGAAGAACATGGTGCCCCACCACCTGAGTAACGGCGACATCAACTACAGGCAGCGACTGGAGACGCACATCGAGTTCAGGACGCTGGCCAAAGGTGGGCGACCGACAGCGACTGTCTGTCTGTCTGTCTGTCTGTCTGTCTGTCTGTCTGTCTGTCTGTCTGTCTGTCTGTCTGTCTGTCTGTCTGTCTGTCTGTCTGTCTGTCTGTCTGTCTGTCTGTCTGTCTGTCTGTCTGTCTGTCTGTCTGTCTGTCTGTCTGTCTGTCTGTCTGTCTGTCTGTCTGTCTCTCTCTCTCTCTCTCTCTCTCTCTCTCCTCTCTCTCTTTTCTCTCTCTCTCTCTCTCTCTCTCTCTCTCTCTCTCTCTCTCTCTCTCTCTCTCTCTCTCTTCATCCATGTCTTACGTGTGATGAAAAGTCCCGCAGTAGCGCCAGAAAGAGTGACCAGAACAAATCAAATGCCTTTGATGCGGATCTCGTTACGGAGTTGCCACTTACCAGAGTTCTTGAAATGCTACGCCTCGACCTCGAGTGATACAATACATTTTCTGATAACTGATATCCTATCGACCTTCCAGGATGCAAGTGCTGTCTGTATTACATTCACGACCAACGTCTGGACGGTCATGCTATTGTATGTACGACCATTTACTGTCTACCCTAAGGCGGAGGTCGAGGATGAAGGAATCCGCCTAGGGGCTGCTCTAAGCTTCAATAACCACTGAGTGTCCAGAAGCACTGCCTTTACTCTCATTTCAGTGGGGTATCAGCTCCCGGGGGCCGTAGCGGCAGTTCCCCTTAGATCTTCACAAAATGTTTCGCTATTGCTGTTGGATATTTTAGTTACCAGGTCCAACCTACAGTGAACAGGAGGGCTGAAAACTAAATGGGCTGCTGAGCCTAAACAGCAAAGCGGCGCCAGACACGATGAACAAGACAAATCAAACGCTCTTGATGCGGATCCCATTTACGGAGATGCTGCACTTCCCAGAATTCTTGAGGTTTGACTTCATAGAAATGATTATAGTTTAGTTGTCGTGAATGAATTTTGTACAATGACATTACAGTGACTTAGCAAAGACATTATTTAACGTCGGTTTCGCAGGTTAGCGCAATTTAACACAAAAATTCACATTATTTGCTTTGAAAGTCGCAATAGCCGTGCAATTAAAGTAAGGCTGATATTCGTCCTAGGCATGACTGAGCCACCGGTCGGAGTCCAGGTCGAGATGGGCCCCCAGGAGGGCTTTGTCTGTTTCTCTGTCTGTTGCTGTGTCTGTGTGTGGGTGTGACGCCGTCTGTCTACCCCAGGCGTGCCGGAGCCACCGGTCGGAGTCCAGGTCGAGATGGGCCCCCAGGAGGGCTTTGTCTGTTTCTCTGTCTGTTGCTGTGTCTGTGTGTGGGTGTGACGCCGTCTGTCTACCCCAGGCGTGCCGGAGCCACCGGTCGGAGTCCAGGTCGAGATGGGCCCCCAGGAGGGCTGTGTCTGTGTCTGTGTCTGTTGCTGTGTCTGTGACCTGTGTGTGATGTGACACCGTCTGTCTGTCTCAGGTGTTCCGGAGCCTCCGGTCGGAGTCCAGGTCGAGATGGGCCCCCAGGAGGGCTGCATTCTGGTCACCTGGCTGCCAGTGACCATCAGTGCCAGCTCGGGCACCAGTAACGGCCTGCCCGTTACCGGGTACGCCGTGTACGCCGACGGACAAAAGGTCACCGAGCTCAACTCGCCCACAGGTGAGCTAACACTCAACTCACCGGTCACCGAGCTCAACTCGCCCACAGGTGAGCTAACACTCAACTCACCGGTCACCGAGCTCAACTCACCCACAGGTGAGCTAACACTCAACTCACCGGTCACCGAGCTCAACTCGCCCACAGGTGAGCTAACACTCAACTCACAGTTGAATGATAGGTGAACACACTGATGGCTCTTGACTATGGGCTAATAAATACCTTGCGGTTTTTGTTATTGCGAATTCTTTTCTGACTGAACAGTTAAAGGACAAAGATCAATTTATATTTCAGCTTACGCTCAGCTCTATGTCCATATGTTATTATGATCGCTCGTGACACTACGTCCATTTCTGCGTTTTCCGCAGGTGATCACGCCGTCGTTGATCTGAAGATCATTCGAGGCTTCCAGCCGCGTCAGGTGACGGTGCGCACCAAGTCACGTGACCTGGTGTCAGCTGACTCGGTGCCGTGTCTCATCCCACATGCAGCCAACGGAAGGGTGAGTAAAAAGATGAGTATGTAGGCTTAGTTCTAAAGACAAAAATATGAAATCGGACGTAAGATATCATCAATAACATTAGCGCTTCTGTTTTGCGCATGCCCTCGGCCCGGCCGTCGTTCTCCGAGCTCTGCTGACGGAGGCGGGTCGTCCCACAGGTGCCCGGTGCCAGTACCCTGAGGAGTCGCTCCTTGGACCGGGACATCATACCGCCCCTGGGTCAATCGACCGGCCAGCGTCAGCAAAGGGTACTCGATACGGAGAACGACTTCAGCGACAGGGAGGCAGAGTTCGACAAGTTCGCCTCCTACAAAGGTAGGTCACTCGGCCAAATATGTTATAATATTTAGTCAAATAACATATTTAATTATGTTATATGTTTAATTATAATTATGTTTTAATTTAAATAAACTCATGACATTGCTGGAGACCTTATGTCACACAGCTACTTCACATTTTTTCCCCTTTATAGGTATTTTGGTTTCACGAGACGTTTCAGGCAGGCTTCATTTGGATTATAACTACTTTGAAGCTGATTTTTAAGGCGTTTAAAGTGGAACATTGCTAAAAACCAGAAGAGGCGGAAGTTACATGTGGTAGTAGGAGTCAATACTCTTGTCCTTTGGCCCTCATCAATCGCATTTCGGCCGGGGGACGGCATGAGAGCAGCCTTTACGAATCACCGATATATGCCGGCACGTCTACTACACAACTGACCGTTAGACTGTACCGCAAGACACCGGTGCCCGACGGTACAGCCGCCGCTCATGCCGTCACTGCACGTCATACACAAAACGACTGAATACCATACTGTAGACACCGGTGCCGTGCCCGGGTACAGCCGCCACCCACTAGCCCACTAAACGCCTGAGTGTTAGACTGTGCCGCACTACTCAGGTGCTCTGCGGTACAGCATGGATACCGCCACCGCACAATACCGGCATCTGCGATGCCGGGCTCCGCATCGCGGGACCGCAGGTTGTTTGAGCAAGCACCTTTGTAAACGCAGCAAAAACGCCCGCCGCCAAACGAGAGGATGAGCCTTGCACGTGCAGACCGGAGTCGGTGTGCTACAAACTGACGTGCACGGCACCCTACTCGCTGATCTATAGCGGTGTGCCAAATTTGAGTGTAATCGGCTCGGCCATTTTCGAGATCTGGAAGCGTCACCCTGCACGTGCGCACGTGCAAGCTGTGTCCAATTGCATTGTGCATGGGACCCTATTCGCCGGTCTCTAGCGGTGTACCAAATTCGAGCTCAATCGGCCCAGCCGTTTTCAAGATCTTGAAACGACCCCTCCACGTGCGCACGTGCAGTTGCATCTCAACCGTGACACATGGAAATACATACTAACTGACTTGTGCACGGCACCCTACTGATCGATCTCTAGATGTTTGCCGAATTTGAGTGCAATCGGTCCAGCCGTTCTTGAGATCTGGAAGCGTCACCCTGCACGTGCGCACGTGCAAGATGGGTCCAAACTGACTTGCGCACGGCAGTCGGCACCCTACTAATCGGTCTCTAGCGGTGTACCAAATTTGAACTCAATCGGCCCGGCCGTTCTCGAGATCTGGAAGCGTCACCCTGCACGTGCGCACGTGCAGTTGCACCCCAATCGTGGCACATGGAAATACATACTAAATGACTGCAACCTACTGATCGGTATCAAGCGTTATGCCAAATTTGAACACAATCGGTCCAGCCGTTCTCGAGATCTGGAAGCGTCACCCTGCACGTGCGCACGTGCAGTTGCACCCCTACCAAGACACATGGAAATGCATCGCCTGGAAAGTGTCTACCTCCATGCCAAGTTTTAGCGCAATCGGCCCAGTAATTACCGCGAGCTATTGCGCTTATTACAAAACAGGCACCTCTTGGCTTTGCACGTGGAACGTGCGTTAGGGGTCACCCATATGCATCGAGAGTAGCACACTATGTGAAAGAAGGGAAAAAGCTACCCCACACAAAAACCGCACGTGTATCAGCCCAGTGGTTGCCGAGATATAAGTCGTACAAAAACGTCCCCACGGCGGCCGGCCGCTATTTAGCAGTAAAATCGTGTCGCATCCTTCTATGGGAGGTATCCCCGTCACCTGTTCGTATACTGTCTGAGCAAAGGCCATACGTTACGGTCCAAACTCCATAGTGAGGCGGACATACGAATTTACGAGAGTTTAGCGACGAAATGATTCACTTAATTGTTAAGTAATGGGTACCATTAGACCATAAATTTTATCTAGCATCTCACCGTAGATGCAGTAAAAAGTGCTTTACTTTTCAATGTATATAAAGACTTGCTCAGCTCAATCAGTTCACTCTGTATTGGCTCAAGCCGTATCATGCGAACGCAATACAAACTAGAGCACCGACAGCGCAGCGCTCCCCAACTCACTGCTCGCCCAGTCCACCCGGGCCGCCGCCACGACGGCCCCCCGCAAGTAGGCATCCCGCACTGCACCGACAGCCGCGGGCGACCAGCTGACCGGCCAGCTGACCGGCCAGCAGCCGGCGGGCGGCAAGCCGCGGATGGCCGACCCGCCGGCGCGGCGAGGGAGGGGAGGGACGCAGCTGAAAGACCCGACTACATATATATCAAAGAAACATTATATGTAATCATCGATGACGCGACATAAATATGCTTTATTGGGTTTAGCGGTGTAGTCTGTGATGCCATCACAATGAAAATAGCCTAGTTTTGTAGAGCATCAAATTCTGATTCCATAACGACTCTCGCTAGTCCATTTTCAATTGTAAATAAGCCTTTTATTGCGATGCAAAGTCCCGAAATGGTGCCGACGGCGGCCGGTCCCCCGATGGTACCATACCATAGATCAGTAAACAGGTTAGTTCACATTCCCGCCGCTATGCGGGCGGCGGCGGCGCCACCTGTCCTCGTGTCCGCCTGACACCGTAACGATATAGGTCTGAGCTCAAATCTCGGTAATGTCGTGCTTTTTTACTATATTTCTCAAAAACGGCACCACGTGCAATAAAGTTGTATATATCATTGGAAAGAGCATCAAAAGTTGTATAACCTATCAACTTTTCACTTAAATATATCTCAACTGTAACAAGTTATTAAGCAGCAAAGACGCTCCCATTCACTTTCCATGTTAAAATTTTTCATTTTTAAACGAGCCTAAAAAGAACAAACGAATTTGCACAGCTTAAAGAAGCATAACAACATGTTCTATGGTCTTTTCTCAACAAGTCCTGAAAGTTTAAACAAAATCGTATCATATAATTTTGTACAATGAGCGAATGAAAAAGTCTCTGCAAAAACGCCCATTGACTTAACATGGGGAGCGAAAAAAATTCAACTTTGACCTCGTGCAAAGACACGTTACGAAGTTCTGAGGGGTATACGGCGCACACTAGCGTGTACCCAAACCTGTTTGCCATAAAATGCTGGGAAGAAAACCACCTCTTCCTTGGCTCGTTTTCCCGCCATTGGCGATCGCGCAAAAAGTGTCCAAAACCCCGTTGACTTAACATGGGCAAAATGGAATCGCACGTGCCACGTGCCACGAGGTTTTAAGCGAGTAGCGACCGGTGCCATCAGGTAGATCGCCTCCGGGAGCCCATACCCTGAACTTTTTACGAAGATTGAGCGATTCGTCTAGGCCCCTATCAAGTTGCCCCAATCTCAGGCCAACTTTGCAAACATAGCCCGGAGAAGGACCGCTCCGGTTGTTTTTCAATAGAAAAACACAATTCTAACGAATAGTGTTTGTCTTTTCAAACAACCTGCGGTTACCAGCATCTGCGATGCTGGGCTCCGCATCGCGGGACCGCAGGTTGTTTGAGCAAGCACCTTTGTAAACGCAGCAAAAACGCCCGCCGCCAAACGAGAGGATGAGCCTTGCACGTGTAGACCGGAGTCGGTGTGCTACAAACTGACGTGCACGGCACCCTACTCGCTGATCTATAGCGGTGTGCCAAATTTGAGTGTAATCGGCTCGGCCATTTTCGAGATCTGGAAGCGTCACCCTGCACGTGCGCACGTGCAAGCTGTGTCCAATTGCATTGTGCATGGGACCCTATTCGCCGGTCTCTAGCGGTGTACCAAATTCGAGCTCAATCGGCCCAGCCGTTTTCAAGATCTTGAAACGACCCCTCCACGTGCGCACGTGCAGTTGCATCTCAACCGTGACACATGGAAATACATACTAACTGACTTGTGCACGGCACCCTACTGATCGATCCCTAGATGTTTGCCGAATTTGAGTGCAATCGGTCCAGCCGTTCTTGAGATCTGGAAGCGTCACCCTGCACGTGCGCACGTGCAAGATGGGTCCAAACTGACTTGCGCACGGCAGTCGGCACCCTACTAATCGGTCTCTAGCGGTGTACCAAATTTGAACTCAATCGGCCCGGCCGTTCTCGAGATCTGGAAGCGTCACCCTGCACGTGCGCACGTGCAGTTGCACCCCAATCGTGGCACATGGAAATACATACTAAATGACTGCAACCTACTGATCGGTATCAAGCGTTATGCCAAATTTGAACACAATCGGTCCAGCCGTTCTCGAGATCTGGAAGCGTCACCCTGCACGTGCGCACGTGCAGTTGCACCCCTACCAAGACACATGGAAATGCATCGCCTGGAAAGTGTCTACCTCCATGCCAAGTTTTAGCGCAATCGGCCCAGTAATTACCGCGAGCTATTGCGCTTATTACAAAACAGGCACCTCTTGGCTTTGCACGTGGAACGTGCGTTAGGGGTCACCCATATGCATCGAGAGTAGCACACTATGTGAAAGAAGGGAAAAAGCTACCCCACACAAAAAACCGCACGTGTATCAGCCCAGTGGTTGCCGAGATATAAGTCGTACAAAAACGTCCCCACGGCGGCCGGCCGCTATTTAGCAGTAAAATCGTGTCGCATCCTTCTATGGGAGGTATCCCCGTCACCTGTTCGTATACTGTCTGAGCAAAGGCCATACGTTACGGTCCAAACTCCATAGTGAGGCGGACATACGAATTTACGAGAGTTTAGCGACGAAATGATTCACTTAATTGTTAAGTAATGGGTACCATTAGACCATAAATTTTATCTAGCATCTCACCGTAGATGCAGTAAAAAGTGCTTTACTTTTCAATGTATATAAAGACTTGCTCAGCTCAATCAGTTCACTCTGTATTGGCTCAAGCCGTATCATGCGAACGCAATACAAACTAGGGCACCGACAGCGCAGCGCTCCCCAACTCACTGCTCGCCCAGTCCACCCGGGCCGCCGCCACGACGGCCCCCCGCAAGTAGGCATCCCGCACTGCACCGACAGCCGCGGGCGACCAGCTGACCGGCCAGCTG